TAATAATACGAGTAGGGGTTGGTTTTAGCCAACTAAGCGCTGGTAATACTAATATGGGAAACAATATTAGTAATATTATCAATAAAATATTACTATATGGATAACTATTATTATTGTCGATTAAATAGTTGGACCATGGTAGTTTTGTGCTGTCAATTACTAGTATAATATAACCGATGATAATTACTGGTGGCAGTAGCCAACATTGGACGGGTCGTATAATAAATATATTGGCCAAATGTGGCCACGGGTTGTTAGTGGGCACCTGTATTAGTCTAAACTTGTCGCGTACCCGACCCACAATCAATAGCGATTGGGTCATAATGGCCAGTGAGCTGGCTAATAGATACCAGTCCATTAGCATCTGGGTCAAACCACCCGGGTAGCGGCGACTAGTGTGCAATATTAGTATAGCACGTACGACAATATAATTGGTACCGATAAATAATGTTAGCAAATTGAGCATGATAGTTAGTTCGGCGCAACAATCTAGCAGGGTCATTTTTCTTATTTAATTCATTAAAAATTATCAAAAATTTACCACGTACATTTTTTTATATCTTATATACTGTATATATATATGTAAACAATTAGTATATGTTTATCACTGTTTTCTAACTGTGTTGTAAACATTACAGTATATACTGTATATATGGTGTATATAAATGTATAAAATTTATTATATTGATGCGGTTACCATAGCAATGTTGTTGTTGCATCATGTACGATCTGTTGGATATTTTTTTCAATAATTAAAAAAATATTTACACATTTTTCAACAACAACAAAAAATGCCTAAAAAATAATAATCTAAACAACTACTGATAAAATAAGATAATTAACTTTTAAAAAAACAAAATATTGATTTTAAGTTTTTTTTAAAACATATAACAAATTTTTATATATATGTAACATTTAATTATTAAATTAAATAGTTAATCAACAAATATTAATAAAAAAAATTAATACATATAGTTGATTTAATATTTTTATTAAAAATTATTTTTAAAAATAAAACATATTACTTGTACATATTAGTCACAAAATAAATACATCAATAAATAATACAATATTTAAATATATCTAATATTATATCAGTAAAATTTGCTAAAATAAATAATTATAAAAAATAATTAATTATGTATAAAAAAATATATAATCAAATTAAATAATAAATGTTTTTAAATCTACTATCAAATAGTAATGATAAACATTTATTATTATTAATATTACATTAATATTTAATTAAATAGTTTTTTTTGATTAAAAAACATAGATGATAATTTTTTAATTTGATATTTATAATTTATATTTTCCATAATATAAATTAGTACAGTAACAGTAAATGATATGATATTATTATTAATATTGAAATATACAGTAAACTAGATAAAAAAATACATTACTTTTTTTGTTTGATTTAATTGAAGTTAACATAATTACAAAAATAAATAAATTTTAATCAATCAAATCAATCATATGTAACAAACACTTGTCTATTATGTTCAACCGCTTGTTGATAACTGGGCGGCATTTCATACACTGGTGGTGGCTGTTCAGCATCTGATGATGCTAACTGTCCTACTAGTGGTGCTGTTGGCGCTGTGGGTACATCCCTGTGCTGGCGATGATGATGATGCTGATAATGGTGATGATCTATTGGCACATTACCAGTACTATAGCTAATACTATTATCAATTGATGTACTATTAGATGATAGTATAGCTAACAATTGTTGTGTTGCTGGCGGTGCTGATGGCTCGGGTGGCATCAAAACTATATGTCTATTATTAATAGTATTACTAATACTATTCATATTGTTTGTCGATACACTACCACCCGTTCCATTATGTAATACCTGACCACCACTATTGGTAGTATCGGTAGTACTACTAGTATTAGTAGGTTTTAGCCAACAAACCGAGTGCCACATAAGTTTCAAATAGATAACCAACAAACAGGTCAATTCAAACAGGCCAATATACCAGGACCATTTAATTAATATGACAATAATCATTGTGATAATCAAGGGCCCGGTTAGCCAATATTGGATAGGCCTAATTTTGAATATTATGGCCAAATTATTACCAATCAATTTAGTTGGTAGGGGTGTATGTATAGTGTATATACCATTCAATACTAGTTGCTGTCTAAATTGATCCAGTATCTCTCTGAGACTAATTGTTGCTGTAACCATTATGAACAATGTACAACCAAGCAAGGTAATCGTAATGATCATGGTAAAATAGTAATTTAGTTTTCTACTATCATCGTGTAGATATCGTATCAAGGTACCTATGACAATGTAACTGGTACCGATAAATAGACCTAGTAGATTCAGCGTGATCAATAATCCAGCACACAAATTTTTAATAAGCCGGCACATTTTATTTGTTTAATGATAATATTTATGATATATTATTATTATTTTATTATTGATTATACTGGTTATAGTAGTAGTAGTTAATTAATTTGATTATTAAATTTTTTATTTTTGTTTGAAAATACTAATCAACAAAATAATAATAATAATAATAATTAAAATTGTCTATATCAATTTGATTATTTTTGTTGAAATAATAACTCATTTTACTTTATTATTATTATTATTATAAATATTTTTGTTTATTTATTTAGAAAATTATATTATGAAAACAATTTATTTATAAAACAAACAATTTGTTTTAATTATTATATTGTAATTAGTTTTATCATTATTATTATTAGTAGTGTGTTTTATTTTTAAAAAATAAATAAATACAATTAATAAATTGTTGCTGGATGGGGGTGGGGTTGCCATAACAATTTTTTTAAATATGATTATAAATATATTTATATTGATATAATATGAAACTAGACTCCATCTATTAGTTTTCATCACTATATATATATTGATGATGCGGTTGCTATGGCAATATTGCATCATATTACTGAAATGATAATAATTTTTTGTTTATATAAAAATATATGATTATTATTATTACAAATTTTTTTAGGCAATATTAATCGAATATATAAACAGGGTATTTTATAATACATATTTTACACTGATTTAAAAAAAAATAATTAATTTCTAATAAATTATAATACATTATATAATTTTCAATAATTAATATATAATACACAATAGAGTAGGAATTGATTAAAATTAAATATAAAACTTTAATAAAATTATTTATTTTTTAATGATTAAGTGTTTAAATATATCTATAAAATGTATTTAAAACACATTGATAAAAAACATTTAATAGCACATTATGGTTTAATTAAATATATTTTATTTATTTAAAAAAAACTACTGTATATGATAATTTTTATTTGACATTGATAAAATATTTCCTAATATAAATTAGTACAAATTTTTTTTAGCTTACATGAAAAATAAATAAATAAATTTATTTTTTTAATTATCTATATTATAACTTAACAAACATTTGCATATCTAATAGTTGTACCGCTTGTTGATAACTGGGCGGCATTTCATAGACTGGCGGTTCAGTATCTAATCTATCAGTAGTATTATTATTAGTTGATAGTATATCTAACAATTGTGTTGGTGGTGGTGCTGTTGGCTCAGGTGGTGGTGATGATGGTGCCATAAATACTATATTATGGCAATTATTATTATAACTATTAATACTATTGTTTGTCCATATATTACTACCACCACCACTGGTTCCACTATGTAATACCTGACTATATCCACCACCACCATCACCATAGTTGATAGTGGTGACGGTAGTATTAGTAGTAGGTTTTAGCCAACAAACCGATTGCCATAAAATGGTCAAATAGATAATCATCAACAGTGTCAGCTCTAGTTGATGGTTATTAAACCGGGACCGCAACAATTTTAACGTAACTATAAACACTGAAACAATCAATGGACTGGTTAACCAATATTTGATGGGTAGTATTTTGAATACCAGTCCCAAATTAACATATATGGTATAGGTATGGGTGTGTTGGTGTTGTTGTTGATTTAGTAGTTTGAATTGATCCAGCACCTGTATTAGCCTAATAGCTGACATAATCATTAGGACGACAGTAACGGCTAGTATGATAAGCTTAATGATTATGATTAGGATAAAATTGTTGTTGTTAAATTGATAGAGTATCCAGGTTGTTTGGACAATGTAGCTGGTACCAATAAACAGGACAAGCACATTTATCACTAACAATATTACGGTTGAAATATTTATTATAATCAGCCGGCACAGTGATGATGATGACATTAAGATAATAAATTATAATATTATTATCAATATATATTTTTTATTATAAAAAAAATAATTATTTATAACTACAGTATATTTTTCACAAATAAGTTATAGTTGTAATAACAATAGTAGTAAAAATAATAATAACAGATAACTAATAGTTAGTTAAGTTGATAAAAATATTATTAACAAATAAAATAATAATAAAATTATCTATAGATTAAATTTTGTTTTGTTGTTGAAAAAATATAACATTTTTTTAGTTAATTTAATTAACAAAATTTTAAAAAAACAAATTATTTAACAAACACACAAATTTCCAAATACTAATAGTTTGTATTATTATTATTAGTGTTGATAAATAAATAAATTGATGCTGTGTTGCCATAACAACGGTTGCATCTTTCAATTGCAATGTGTTTACTATTGAATAAAACTTAAAATAATAATAATAATAATCACATATTTATATAATTATTCAGACTTTATATTAATCACTTCAACAACAAAAAAATTATTTAAACAAGTTTTAAAACATTAACTTTAAATGAATTAATTTTATTTAGGAATATATATTTAATATTATTATTTTTAGAAGTATTTAATATTATATAAAGTATAATATAATTTTTTATTTTTGATACTTACAAAAAAATAATTAAAGATAATTGATTAAAAAATAATTACAGTTACAAACAAATATTTTGATATTATTATATAACTATGAAATTAGTTTATAATTAATAAAATTATTTTTTTTAATTAAATATTGATCTCCAGTGGGACCTAACCTGCGATAAACATGGATTGGCATCGCTATCTCAATCACTATATATGGTTGGCTATGTATTGGGAGCCTTAATATTTGGCTGTCTATCAGATCGTTTCGGTAGACAACCGATACTATGGTTAACAGTTATACTAGAAATAATGGCCGGCCTATCCAGTGCACTGGCCGTCAATATTATACAGTTTATTATATCGCGTATGATATTGGCATTTGCATCAAACGGCCGATTGTTGACCACATTTATGTTAGGTATCAGTATATATAAAATATTTTTATAAAAAAATTAATATTAAAAAACATATTAATTACTATTTAGTTAACGAATGTGTGGGCACTAAATACAGGGCCACATTTGGTATGGCTGTCCAAATTGGTTGGGCACTCGGCTACTGTCTACTACCAGGTATTAGCTATATGTTGCCAAACTTTAGGCACCTGTTGTTAGCTACGTCTATACCTGAGACCATATGGTTGGTTTGGTTGATAGTCATACCCGAATCGCCCCGTTGGCTGTTAGCCAATGGACAGTTAGGACGGGCTGAGCGGGAAATAAAACGGGCGCTTAGATTGAATAAATTGTCTGACAATTGTCTAGATAGTCAACCATCAATTGAATTGTCCAAAATTGATGTAACCAACAGTGATGATGATAATAGTGATGAGATAACCATAAAATCAAATAATGATAATAATAATAATAGACATAAACCCCGATTTTACGATATATTTATGCTACCAAACCTCCGTAGGACAACCCTAATCATGTACTTCACATGGTTTGTCAACTCGTTTGTCTATTACGGCATATCATTAAACATCGGCGACTTCGGTGGCAATTTGTTTATCAATTTTTTCGTTGCCGGTCTGATTGAATTTCCCAGTTATCTGTTTCCGTTGATGGCTTTCCCCTATATTGGACGTCGACCCCTGACCTCAGGACTTATGTATCTGAGCGGACTGTCGTGTTTGGCTGTCATACCTCTACTAACAGTGCCGAGTGTCTGGCCCCGACTAACCGTGGCCTTGATTGGCAAATTTTTTATAACCAGTTCCTACGGTGTTATCTATGTCTATGCGGCGGAAGTCTATCCGACTGTTGTCCGACAAGTGGGTGTCGGTTCGTGTTCAGTGGCCGCCCGTTTCGGCTCTATATTAGCCCCGTTTGTCAAAGAGCTGGTATGTCTGTGCAAAACATTTTTATTTATTTTATTATATATTGATATAAATCTAACTTAATAATTATATTCAATTCAATTATTATTATTATTTTTTGTTTGTTTGTACAGAATATCTATACCGGTATGAGTGTCGTAATGTCCATTTTCGGTGGTCTGTCCATTGCCGACGGTGTGTCAGCACATTTTCTACCCGAAACTCGTGGCCAACAAATTGCCGATACTATTGATGAAGCGGAACAACTCAATAGGTTTGGATAATAATAATAATAATATATAATATATATATATATATATAATATTTTATATAATAGTTTTGAATTACAAAAATTATAAATAAAACAAAAAATATTATTCAATAGTTATATACACCTGTACTACAGTATATAAGTTTATAATTTATATATAAGATTATATAATACTGTATATCAATCAATAATATTGTATACTATTGTATGATACTGTATATACTACTGTATATAATACCTGTATATAGTATTGAATAAATATAAAGTATATTATAATATCATTATATCGTATAATTAAGTTTATATTTATTTTTATTTTTATTTAATCAATATTATTTTTAATCCAAAATCTTATAGGAGGCGCACAATAAATATAAAACAAACAAACAATGGTGCCTACAATTTACATGTAACTAATTTGATAGAAAAAACATAGTATTATAACTAACTTTTATTTTATTTTTCTAAAAAACTAATTTAATTAAATTTAAAATTTAAATAACAAACTAATTTAATTGTATATTTTATAATAATAATAATAATAAATTTTAATTAATTAAAGTAGTTTTCTTATTAAAACTAATTATTTTTATTTTATCATATACAATACTTTACTAAAAATATTTTATTTTTTTTGTATGAAAACAACAAATATTTATTTTTTTTAAATTTATCAACAATCATTTTAATATTATAATGATTGATAAAATGATAGTGCTAAATTGTAAGTGTGAATATTTTATATACACTATTACATTTACATTTTTTAAAATAATATTAAGATAACTTTAAATTTCTAAATAACATTAATATTATTATTATTATTATTATTATTAATATTATTTGTCATTGGAAACTACTATAGTATTACTAAATAGTAATTTTCATATTAAATATTGAGATAATTTAGTTATTTAGAAAAATAGTTATTTATTTATTTTTGACATTATTATAAAGTACTTTATTTTGATTAAATTATTTTTTTAGTATTAATACTTACTTAATACTAATAAATAAACATATAATAACTTTTATAATAAACATGCATCCTGTTTAATATAACATTTATATATATATATATATATATATATATATATATATATAATATCATTATAAACTTAGTTGATAGTAGTATACAGTATATAATGGTAACCCTGAATTAAATTGAAATTTATATTTCAATTATGAAAATGATATAGCTAAAAAAATAATAAATTTTCAATAAATTTTATTTTTTAAATGATTGTCATATTTGACATAAATATCTGAAATTTTTTTCTTCACTATCATAATTATATATATATATATATATATTGATATCTATTGTTTATATCTATTCAAACTAAAAATTTTCAATTAACTATAATTGACAAAAAAATAATAATAATTAAAACTAAATAACTACTGTTTGCTTAATATAGTAAAAAAAAATTTTTTTTAATTTATTATATTAGTGTGAAAAAGTTTGTTTATTTATCAATCAATATATTTATATTGAATTTTATAATACACAACATATTTTTTATTTAAATATATATATATATTATTACTACTACTGCTACTACTGTATTATTATTATTATTATTATTATTATAACTGTTGGTTATCTAATAAAACATATTTTTTGATTGCTATTAGTAGTCATCTATAATACCATAGAGTATGTAATTACATAACAATAATACAGTATACAAGTGTATTGTCAGCTAAAATAACATAAATATTTTTATAGTGTGTGTGTATTCAATAAATAAAAAAAAATATTTATCATATTTTTACATAACTTTATTTATCATTAATAATAATCATAATAATAATATTTTTTGTTATTTCTATTAAAATTATTTTTTTTGTATATAAAAAATATAACTATTAATCAAATTTGATATACTATACCACACACACACACACCTACTGTACCGGTATATACGGTTACAAACTCGACAGCAAATATTAATGAAGAGCCGTAGCACCGGTAGTAGTAGTAGTCCTCCTGTAGGTGTTGTTGTCCGACATGTGACCGATATAGTGGGTGAATGGGGTCGTTGGCAGCTAAATATAGCACTGTTTTCAATCAGTATATCACTGTTTTCATCGTTAAACAATTTGGCCGTAACTTTCTATGCACCCAAAGTTGACTACTGGTGCGGTGATGACGGTGCTACTACTAGTGCTAACAATCAGGTAGTAGTTTAGTTTTTAATTAAATTAATTAATTAAATTAATTTAATCATTTTTTTAAAAAAATTATTTAAAAGTCACAATCAATTGATTATTGTCTAACTGGTTGTCAAAACTGGACGTTTGATAAATCAGTGTTCAAAAGGACAATCATCGATGAGGTAATCATACTATTATTATTAGATAAACTTTTTTTTTAATTATTAATTATTATACTAATTAATAGTAATAATAATAATAATAATAATAATAAAAATATAAATAAATACCCGTTTACTATAATTTATTATTATTATTATTATAAGATAAACTTTTTTTTAAAATTATTAATTAATTAATTATTAGTTATTATCCTAACTAATAGTAATAATAATAATACTAATAAAAATAAATTCCCGGTTACTGTAATTTAATATTATTATTATTAGATAAACTATTTTTTTTAATTATTAATTAAATATAATAACTAATAATAACTAATAGTTAAAATAATAATACTGATAAAAATAAATACCCGGTTACTATAATTTATTATTATTAGATAAACTTTTTTTAAAAATTAATTAATTAAGTATTAGTTATTATACTAACTAATAGTTAAAATAATAATACTGATAAAATAAATACCCGGTTACTGTAATTTATTATTTTATATATATATATAGTATATTATTAATCTCCCGTTTCCTCATATATATATATAGTGGCACCTTATATGCGATTGGCGGGGTATGGCCTCACTATCCGAATCGCTCTATATGTTGGGCTTTGCACTGGGAGGTGTCATATTTGGTGGATTATCCGACCGATTCGGCCGAATACCCATACTATGGGCGTCGCTAATACTGGAAATAGCTGCCGGACTTTCAAGTGCATTGGCCGTCAATATTACACATTTTATGATATCGCGTTTCATACTGGGAATGGTATGCAACGGTCGCTATTTGACTACATTTATGTTAGGTATGTATAAAAACAGTATCATATATGACATACCATTTTATTAATTAATTTTTTTCATTTAAAAATAATATTAGTTACCGAATGTGTTGGGCCTAAACATAGAGCCTCGTTGGGCATGTATTTCCAGTTGGGTTGGGCACTGGGCTACTGTCTATTGCCGGGTATTGCCTACCTGTTGCCAAACTTCCGGCACCTGTTGCTGACCACTTCGCTGATTGAACTGCCGTGGCTGGTCTGGCTTATATTCATACCCGAATCGCTTCGATGGCTGACCACACACGGCCGCTGGACACAGGCTGAACGGGTATTCAAACGGGCCGTCCAAATGAACTCATTGGCCGACGATAGCGGACTACTCGAGCGTCAGTTGGAACAGTTGAAAATGTCGACCACCGATGAGGAACAGCAGTCAAGCGGTGGTGGCGGTGGACAACAAAAGCCGAAATCTAAGTCCAATTTGACATATATTTGGGAGATAATGAAATCACCGAACCTGAGGAGGACAACCCTAATCATGTACTTTACGTGGTTTGTCAATGCATTTGTCTATTACGGTATATCGTTGAACATCGGCGACTTTGGCGGCGATTTGTTTATCAACTTTTTGATTGCCGGTCTACTGGAGTTTCCCAGTATTGTGTTTCCGGTAGTGGCCTTCAAATTTGTCGGCCGTCGACCACTCAGTTCGGCACTAATGTATTTGAGTGGACTGTCGTGTTTCGGTGTACTACCGTTTCTATCGATGACAGCCATCTGGCCTCGGGTTACTGTGGCATTGATTGGCAAGTTTTTCATTACCAGTTCGTTTGTTGTCATCTATGTCTATGCAGCGGAAGTCTATCCGACTGTTGTCCGACAAGTAGGTGTCGGTTCGTGTTCAGTGGCCGCACGTGTCGGCTCTATATTAGCCCCGTTTGTCAAAGAGCTGGTATGTCTCTCTCTCTCTCTTTCTCTCTCTTTCTCTCTCTTTCTCTCTCTTTCTCTCTCTTTCTCTCTCTTTCTCTCTCTTTCTCTCTCTTTCTCTCTCTTTCTCTCTGTCTCTCTGTCTCTCTGTCTCTCTGATCAATACATATATATATAWAGTTATATTTCATATCTAATATTATTATTTTGTTTGTATTTGTTTGTGTGTGTGTTTTATACCAGAATATCTATACAGGTATGAGTGTCGTACTGTCCATTTACGGTGGTCTGTCCATTGCCGACGGTGTGTCCATACATTTTCTACCCGAAACTCGTGGCCAACAAATTGCCGATACTGTCGAAGAGGCTGAACAACTCAATAGGTTTGTTATATTAATATTAGTTATATTATATTATTAGTTAGTTAAACATTAGATCAATCATTAAAAAAAATTTAAAAACACCGCAAATTAATTGCACGATATTTTATATATTAAATATTTATAAATTTATATCTAGTTTATCAATAGATATGAATTTATTTTTTGTTTATAAAATTATTAGACTGTTTACTAATTAAAACAAAAACAACAAATACAATATATCATGCAATAAATAATTTAATGATATTAAAAAAAATTATTATTTATAAAAAAAATAATATTTATTATGAATTAGCATTTAATATATTATTTATTGATAGTAATTAATTAGTAAATAAAATATGATTTTTTGGCAAAAAAAAAAAATTTATTTATTTAAAAATGAGTCCTTAAAATTTATAATAATAAGTTTTTTTATGTAATTTTAATTTGTGACTAACGAATACATTAATAATATAAATATAATTTTTTTAAAATTTTTAATAAATAAATAATTTTTTTATAGGAGGAAACGCAAAAATAAAAATCATAATCAAATTAAAAACAACGATGATGATGATGCTAATAATGATTTTAAAGTGTATTTTAATAATAAATCCTAACTAATCAATATATTATATAAATTTAATAGTTTATAATATATAAATAATAATAATAATAATACTAAATTAAATGTTAATTTTATTAATTGATATTTTTTGTAAAAAATAAAATTTTATCATTAATTTTGTTATTATTATGATAAAAATTAGTAATTATAATTTTTTTTAAAATAAATAAATAAATAAAACTTTTATAATTAATTAGTTGTGGAAAATAATTCAAGTAATATTTAATTTGTTATTTATTTTTAAAAAAATGCATTCAATATTATCTCTAAAAAATAAATGACTACCAAGTGTTATTAACTATTAATATGTGATAAATAGGATATTAAAAATTAAAAAATATATATATATACAGTATATTAATAGATAACATTTTATTAAAGAAATAAAATAATAATAATAATAATAATCAAATTTAGTGTACTTAAAAAAATAATGGAAAATTTTTATAAATGATATTTAATTTTATTTAATTTTTTCAGCACATGTTGTATACATAAGTTTTAATAAAGATAACCACACATTAAAAAAAGTATTAATATTTATATATMTTAAAAAATAAATTATTATTAAAAATTACATAGAATTGAAAAACATTTATTTTATTTTTGAAAAAATAATTTAATGAGTATTTATATAAAATTTATATATATATATATAAAAAACAAGTTTTCCCCCAAAAAAATATAATAATATTAGACTAATTGTTAAATGTTTTCCTTGAAAAAAATATTAAAAACTATTAATAATAAATAATTTTTTTAAGTGTTTAAAAAAATATTATTTTGAAAACACCATTACTATCAATATTATTAAGCACTGGTATTATTCAATATTATTATTATTATTATTATTATTGTTGTAATGAAGTCGGCGCCGATAAAAACAAGTGTCCAACAAGTGTCCGATATTATCGGTGATTGGGGTCTATGGCAGCTAAATATTGTCGTATTTTCAATTAGTATACAATTGTTTTTGGCTTTTCATACACTAGCCGTATCGTTTTATGCACCCACCATTGACTACAAGTGCACCGATAATGACATTACCAGTACTACCACTACTACTACTAGTGCTAACAATGAGGTAACAAAAAAATAGTTAATAAAAATAATTTATTAATAAATAATATTTTAATAAAAAAATAATTTACTAATAAAATAATATTTAAATTAAAATAGTTTACTAATAAAATAATATTTTAAATTAAAATAATTTACTAATAAAATAATATTAAAATAAAAATAATTTACTAATAAAATAATATTTTAAACTAAAATAATTTACTAATAAAATAATATTTTAATAAATAAATAATTTACTAATAAAATTTTAATTAAAATATTATTTGTTTTTTTTATCTGAAAGACAAATGATTATTATTGTCTAAATGGATGCAAAAATTGGACATTTGATAGATCAGTGTTTAAGTCGACAATCATTGATGAGGTAATTATTATTATTATTGTTTTTTAATTGTTGTTAACTAACTGTTTAAATATTTATAAATTAATTTATAATTAAATACTAATAATTAAATAAATATTTAGCATTTTTATATAAATTAGTAAACAAACAAACAAACAAAAAGTTATAAAATAATAGTATATAAAAAATAGCATAATATTTAAATACTGTATAATATGTAATYTCTCTCTCTCTCTCTCTCTCTCTCTCTCTCTCTCTCTCTCTCTCTCTCTCTCTCTCTCTCTCTCTCTCAAWACAGTGGCAATTAGTATGCGATAGACAGGGATTGGCATCCCTATCACAATCGCTATTTATGTTAGGCTTTGCATTGGGAGCCGTCATATTTAGCTACCTGTCCGACCGATTCGGTCGACTACCTATACTATGGATTACAGTCATACTGGAAATACTGGCCGGCCTATCCAGTGGACTGGCCATGAATGTAACACAGTTTAATATATCGCGCGTAATATTGGGAATGGTATCTAACGGCAACTATTTGACAACATTTATGATGGGTATGATTATAACCACAAATGAAAATTTTATTATTAATCTAATTATATATATATATATACCGGTAGTTAACGAGTGTGTGGCACCTAAATATAGGTCTACATTCAGTGTATGCATACAAATGGGTTGGACGGCCGGCTACTGTCTATTGCCGGGTATTGCCTACTTGTTGCCTGACTTTCGCCAACTGATATTAGCCACAACTATACCGCAGATCGTATGGCTTGTATGGTTATATTGGATACCCGAGTCGCCCCGTTGGCTGATTGCCCATCAGAAATGGGATCGCTTGGAACTGGTAGTCAAACAGGCTGTCCATATGAATTCATTGCCGATAAATGATTTTGACAATCAATTTGAATCGTTGAAGAAGTCTATAGTTAACAACAATGAGGAATGTGTTAATAAACAACTGTTAACTAACGATAATAATAATAATATAAATACCAATAATAATAATAATAAAACTAAGTCCAGCCTATGGTCAGTAATGCAGTCACCGAACCTCCGTAGGACAACCCTAATCATGTACTTTACATGGTTTGTCAACTCGTTTGTCTATTTCGGTATATCCTTAAACATCGGCGACTTAGGCGGCAATTTGTTTATCAATTTTCTGGTCGCCGGACTCATCGAGTTTCCCAGTTTTATATTTCCTATCGTTGCCTTTAAATATATCGGTCGCCGACCACTGATCGGCGGATATATGCTACTCAATGGACTGTCGTGTTTTGCTGTCATACCATGTCTGGCGATGACCGCTATCTGGCCACGGGTTACCATTGCTATGATTGGCAAATCGTTTATTACCAGTTCTTTTTCGGTTATCTATGTCTATGCAGCGGAAGTCTATCCGACAGTTGTCCGACAAGTAGGTGTCGGTTCGTGTTCAGTGGCCGCCCGGGTAGGGTCTATGTTAGCACCGTTTGTCAAAGATCTGGTATGTCTACATAACATATATACAACAACAACAAAATTTTTATATATCTAACTAAATTATTTTTTTATTTATGTGATATACACAGAATATCTATACGGGTATGAGTGTCGTACTGTCCATTTACGGTAGTCTATCGATTGCCGATGCAGTGGCAGCTTATTTTCTGCCCGAAACCCGTGGCCAACCAATTGCCGACACTATTGACGAAGCGGAACAACTCAATAGGTTTTTTTTAATAGACATATATATACTAATAATTAATAAATTAATTAAAAAAATATTAATAAATTTAATTTTTTTTAATAATTTCTATAATAGGAGGCATAATAGTAAAGTTGCTAAAATAAATGACAAAAATAAATGTGATTACAAACTACATGTAATAACTGATAATAAAGTATGATAATAATAATAATAATAATAATTGTTTATATTATTTTTGTTGTTGTTAATAATTATATTTATATATATATATTTGTTAATTATATTGATTTTTTTGTATTACTTTATGTCAATATGATATTTAAAAATAATATTAAATAAAATGGAAATATTCTATAAATAAAAACAGTATAAATGTTTTATTATTTTTTAAAATCTAATTTTAATAATTATTATATGATATATATTTATTCAAACTAATGTATATATATATATTGATATATCGATATATAATATTATTGATATTGATTTTTCTTTGAACTACTGTTTTATACTAAATTATATATATTATTTATATATTAACTAATATTTTATTAATAAAACAATTAACAATAATAATCAAAATAAATACTTATATATTATTTATTSTATAATTATAACAATATTATTTTGATAATGATTTCACTAATTAAAATATAGTATATATTAGTTTTGTATTAATATTATTATAACTAAAATAATTGTTTTATTAATAATTACAATAGAGTATATTACTCTTATTAATATTATTATTATACTGTAATTACATATAAGCAGCTAATACTTTATGATTAAATAAAAATTAACATTAATCAATGTTAATCTATTCAATATATATATATATAATTTATACTGTATATAYCGGTACAGTTTTATACATATACAGTATATAATATATATATAATATCAATATATATAACGACAATTTACTCGTGTTTATAATAACTATTATATATTATATTTTTAACGATATTAATAATGATTAAGCTAATTATTTTAGTATGATTTTAGTATTATTATTATTACTATTATTTATGTTTAATCATTATTTGATATCCCCTTTTTTAATAATAATTTTTGAAGGTACAGATATTATAGATATATACTTTTATTTTTATTGTATTTAATACTATTCAATATATAGCTAAATAAAATAATATAATAATAATTAAGTAATAATTTTCAGTATACAAAAAATTTAATAATAATACTGTACTAATATAATATACTGTATTTTGTTTTTATATTGTGTATTTAGTATTAATAGTATTTTTATATTAATTAATTAATTAGTGTGTATATCGCATATAAATTAATTAAAATTAAATATTTTATTTTTTTAAAAAATAATTATTCTATATATATAATACTAATAATTAATTATATAAATATAATATAAGTAATTATTATTATTATTATTATTAAACCAATAGTTTTTATACTTATTATATATTAATGAGTTATACATAAAATTTATAAAAATTAATTTTTATTGCAATCAACAAACAATAGCACCGATACTATGAAACAGACACCAAATGTCCGACAGGTTACCGATATTATCGGTGAATGGGGTCTATGGCAGCTAAATGTGGTTATGTTTTCAATTACTATACAAATATTTTTGGCATTTCAAACATTGGCCGTATCGTTTTATGCGCCAACTATTAGCTACCGGTGCACCGATAATATTAGTAACTATACTACCGGTAATGACAATCAGGTATTATATAAAAAATATATATATATAAAATTAATTATAAATAATTATTACTAAAATTATTATTATTATTACTTTATTATTATTTTTATTTTACTTTTATTATTATTATTAGTTTTATTATTTCTATTATTATTATTATTAACAAAAAAATATTTCTAAAGACATCATATGATTATTGTCTGAATGGTTGTCAAAACTGGACGTTTGATAAATCAGTGTTTAAATCGACAATCATTGATGAGGTAATTATTTTTTTAAATATATTGTCTAAATATAATATATTAAAATTATATTCACACACACACACACACACACACACACACATACATACAYACATACAYACATACAYACATACACACATACACACATACACACATACACACATACACACATACACACATACACACATACACACATACACACATACACACATACACACACATACACACATACACACATACACACATACACACATACACACATACACACATACACACATACACACATACACATACATACACACACACACACACACACACACACACACACACACACACACACACATACACACATACACACATACACACATACACACATACACACATACACACATACACACATACACACATACACACATACACACATACACACATACACACATACACACATACACACATACACACATACACACATACACACATACACACATACACACATACACACATACACACATACACACACACATACACACATACACACATACACACATACACACATACACACACACAAAATATATATATATAGTGGCACCTGATATGCGATAGACAGGGATTGGCATCACTGACCCAATCGTTGTTTATGATAGGCTGGGCATTAGGTGGCATCATATTTGGCATACTATCCGATCGATTCGGCCGTAAACCGATACTATGGGTTACGATAATACTGGAAATAATGGCCGGTCTGTCCAGTGCACTGGCCGTCAATATTACACATTTTATGATATCGCGTACAGTATTGGGAATGTTAGCTAATGGTCGCTATTTGACTGCATTTATGTTAGGTATGCTAATCAACAACAAAACAAAACATTTGCTATAATAATAATAATAATTTAAATAATAATTAGTTACCGAATGTGTGGGTAGCAAATATAGGGCCACTTTAGGTGTAATTTTTCAGTTAGGTTGGGCACTGGGCTACTGTCTATTGCCAGGTGTGGCCTACTTGTTGCCAAACTTTCGCCATATGATATTAGCGACAACTATACCGGAAGTTTTATGGCTGGTATGGTTGATAGTCATACCGGAATCGCCCCGTTGGCTGATTGCCCACCGAAAATGGGATCAATTAGAACTGGTGGTCAAACGTGCCGTCAAAATCAATTCATTGTCGATGAATCAGATCAATAGTCAGATGCAATCGTTGATTAAATCAAATACAAGTTGTTGTGATGAAACTATTGAAACAAATTCAAGTAAATCCAATTTATTGGCTGTATTTAGGTCACCAAACCTGAGGAGGACAACCCTAATCATGTTTTTTACGTGGTTTGTCAACTCATTTGTCTATTACGGCATATCGTTAAACATCGGCGACTTTGGCGGCAATTTGTTTATCAACTTTTTGATTGCCGGTCTGATTGAATTTCCCAGTAGTTCACTACCGCTGATTGCAATCAAATATATCGGTCGCCGACCACTCGTTGCCGGACTTATGTACGCGAGTGGACTGTCGTGTTTGGCTGTCATACCTTTCGGATCGATGACCACTACTACCACTACTGTATGGCCGAGGATTACCATTGCATTGATCGGCAAGTTTTTCATTGGCTGTTCGTTCAATATTATCTATGTCTATACGGCCGAAGTCTATCCGACTGTTGTCCGACAAGTGGGTGTCGGCACGTGTTCAATGGCATCACGTGTTGGCTCAATGATAGCTCCGTTTATCAAAGATCTGGTACTGTCCTAACATATTACTACTATACATGTATTATATACAGTGTATATACAGTATATTAAACTAAATTTAATTACAATTAATTATTATTTATTTTATTTTTTTTTTGTTGAACAGAATGTATACACCGGTATGAGTGTCGTACTGACCATTTTCGGTGGTCTGTCCATTGCCGACGGTGTGTCCGTACATTTTCTACCCGAAACCCGTGGCCAACAAATTGCCGATACTATCGATGAAGCGGAACAACTTAATAGGTTTGTATAATTTTTTTTTTAAATCAAAATTAACTATTAGTTTAATTAATTGTCTATTTTTTGTATATTTTATTTTTTTTCCATTAATTTACAGGAGAAATAAAAAATGAAAACTTACTGTAATTTTTGTTTGTTATTTAATATATTTTTTTCAATAACAAAAAAATGTTAAAACATTTAATTAAAAATAAATGTATTCAAAAAAAAAATTTAGTTACATTTTTTTAAAATGTATATTTTTTATAATTTAATAAACATTTCAAACATTTTCTAATACATATTGTGTTAATTGAATTTATTATTTAAAAAAACATTATTAAAATATAATTTTTTTTTAAAATAGTACATAAATTGATTTTGTATTACCAACTATGATATTAAATATTTTATAGTAAATATTAATATTATTATTATTAGTTGAAATTGATTTTATATATATATGTTTAATCATATTTTTGTTTTATTAAGCAACAGTAGTTATTTATTTAAATATATATATATATATTAGTTATTTTATATTATTTTTATTTCTAGTACAGCTATTTACATATAACTTGAATACATATACTATTATATTATTAATATTAACAATTGATTTGTTACTAAATGTTATAAATAAAAAAATTAATAATAATAATAATAATAAATACATTAATTTATAATACATGCATAATTTATTTATCAATAAAAAAAATTTAAATTACTAATTCATAAAACTAAATAATAAAATAAATTATTTATATTAAAAATATTTTATGATATTGAAAATGATTAAGCTAATTATTATACATTATATATATTATTAGTTTAAATTTATTAAGTTTTATATATTTAATTATAGTTTTCTAAACTACCAGTAGTTTTATTATATATAAAAACTTATTCTTCAAAAAATAGTCACATTTATAGCAATTATTAAGTTTAAAAAAAATTAAATAAAATTAAATTTAACATTTTGTTTTTAGATACTATATATATACCGGTATATAATTTTTATATTTCCTTAATGTTATAAATTATATAAATATTTATATATTTTTTTGTGTATTTGTTATTAAAATAAAATAAAATTTTAAAATAATATATATTCTCTATAATTACTATTGATTTTGTTTTTATGCCAATCAGTTTAAAACTGTTTAAGCACCGGTACTAATGAAACAGCAAACTGTCCGACATGTCCTGACCGATATTATCGGTGAATGGGGTCTATGGCAGCTAAATATTGTCGTATTTGCAATTAGTTTACATATATTTATGGCTATAAACTCACTTAGCGTAGCATTTTATGCGCCAACCATTAAGTACTGGTGCGCCGATAATAATAATAATACAATTATCGGTGACGTTGTTAATAATCAAGTAATTGTTTTTTTAACTTATTGTGAAAAAAATCTATATATTTATTTGTTAATTAATTTATTTTTGTTAAAAAAAGACACTTAAATCAAATGATTATTATTGTCTGAATGGTTGTCAAAACTGGACGTTTGATAAATCAGTATTTAAATCGACAATCATTGATGAGGTAATCATAATAATAATAATAATAATAATAATATCTATTATAAAAATTTTTAACTGTATTTAAAATAATATGTTTACTATTATATTTAATTGCATAAACATATATATATCTAATTTTTAATTTATATATATATATATATATATACAAACAATTATCAGTTTCATCTAATATGCGATAGACAAGGATTGGCATCACTCAGCCAATCGTTGTATATGTTTGGCCGAGCACTGGGTGGTGTCATATTTGGCTGTCTGTCCGATCGATTCGGTCGGATACCTATACTAGGACTAACACTTCTATTGGAAATAATGGCCGGCCTATCCAGTGCACTGGCCATCAATATACTACAGTTTACTATAGCGCGTACAGTACTCGGGTTTGTAGCCAATGGTCGCTATTTGTGTACAATTATGTTAGGTATTTGATAGATAGCATATCATATACTATTATGTAATAATAATAATAATAATTACATTTATTTATCATTTAAAAAAACAGTTACCGAATGTTTGGATAGTAAATATAGAGTCCATTTGGGTATAGTTTTATCGTTTGGTCTATCTATGGGTTACTGTCTATTGCCGGGTATTGCCTATTTGTTGCCAAACTTTCGACATATGATATTAGCTACAATAATACCCGAATTTGTATGGCTTCTGTGGTTATTATGGATACCGGAGTCGCCCCGTTGGCTAATAGCCAATCGTCAGTGGAATCGTTTGGAACGGCTGGTCAGACAGGCTGTCCAAATGAATTCAGTGTCGATCAATGATTGGCAAAATCAGATAAAATTGTTGATTAGTCAACAAAGTAGTGATGAAAATCAATTAACTGAAATCAATGATAACAATAATCCTATTATTAATAATAATACTGATAATAATAATGAAAATAAACGGTCATATATTTGGGACGTTTTGAAGTCACCAAACCTCCGGAGGACAACCCTAATCATGTTTTTTACGTGGTTTGTCAATGCATTTGTCTATTACGGTATATCGTTAAATATCGGCGATTTCGGGGGCAATTTGTTTATCAATTTTCTGGTCGCCGGTCTGATTGAATTTCCCAGTATTTTGCTGGCTTTAGTTGCACTGAAATATATTGGTCGCCGACCACTCGTTGCCGGACTTATGTACGCGAGTGGACTGTCGTGTTTGGCTGTCATACCGTTCATATCGACGACCACTACTACTACCACTACTACTGTATGGCCGAGGATTACCATTGCATTGATCGGCAAGTTTTTCATTGGCTGTTCGTTCAATATTATCTATCCATACACTGCCGAAGTCTATCCAACAGTGGTCAGACAGGTCGGTGTGGCCACGTGTTCAGTGGCTGCACGTGTTGGGTCAATGATAGCACCGTTTGTCAAAGAGCTGGTATGTCCTAACATATTTGCTACTATACATGTATAATATATAAAGTATATTAAACTTAATTTAATTACAATTAATTATTTTATTTTTGTTTGAACAGAATGTATACACCGGTATGAGTGTTGTACTGACCATTTTCGGTAGTCTGTCCATTGCCGACGGTGTGTCCGTACATTTTCTACCCGAAACTCGTGGCCAACAAATTGCCGATACTATCGATGAAGCGGAACAACTCAATAGGTTTTTATTGTTAAAAAAAATTAAAAATAAATTATTATTAATGTTTACTTTAGTTATCGCTAGTTTTCATATATTAATATAACTTTTATTTTTTTATTTACAGGAGAAATAAAAAATAATAATAATAACTTAAAAATAATTTTGGATTTATATATAATTTTTATTATTATTATTAAATATACTGTTATTAAATAAATATATAAATATATAGTTAATAAAAATAATTTATAGTTATTCACTTTACAGAATAATACAATGTATTGTAATACAGTATATTGTTAAACAAAATTATTTATTTTTTTATTAATAATACAAATATTATATTTTAATACTTAATATTAAAATTAATTATAAATATTTTTTAGTAAAATTAAAATTATTATTAAAAGTTAAATATGTACTGTACATGTACTAACATTTAGATTGTATATATAAATTAATTATATTAAAAGCATCATTGTGGAAAATTACTAAAACATTTATTAAATAATTTTTTTTTACAATTTTATTTATATAAGATAAAAAATTATACATAGTATTAAATGTTATAATAATAATAAACATTATATATACAGTATATATATATGCTTACATTTGATTTAATTAAGTATATATATATACTGTAATTTGTAATGATTGTTTGTTATACAACTTTTAATTAAATATTTATTTTTAATTTAATAATATTGTATTTAATGAAAAAAAATTATTTAAAAAATCTGCACAATATAACATTTAAACTTATCAAATTATATTTTATATGATACCCTTATAATTATAAGTACAATTATATACATATAATATTATAAATTATTATCCGCAATTATATAAACATAAAATTAATTAATTTTTATTTTAAAACTAAATATTTATATTAAAAATGTTTTTAAAAAAAAATTATTTATTATTTATAATTTCTATGATAGTTAATAGATTAATAGTGGAAAATTACTACAACACGGTTGAAAACAAATATATATATATATATATATATATATATATATATATATATATATACTGATATATATTTATATTATATAAATACTTTTTTTAAATTTTTATATACAAACGTGTTGTAAAATGTAGAATATATACATATAAATATTTTTTTTTTGGTGTATATTTTGATAGTTTTTAATAATTAATAATATTTAATTTGATACTTGAATTTAATTTATTTGTATTTTAAAGTAAAATTTTTAAATAATAATTATTATCATTTTTTTTCGAAAATAAAAATAAAATAAATTATGCAATATTTAAAATTATAATTGTATTTTTTTTAATTGTATTGTGAATTAAAGTAATATAACAATAATATACAATATATAATAGTGTGCAATAATTAATGTTTTTTAATGATGTTGTTTAATTAAGCTGTATTTTAAATACATAAATTTTTACTACTATTATTATCATCATTAGTATTATTAGTATTAGTATTATACTGTAATTATTTCTATTAATTACAATTAGATTATTTTGTTTTAACTATTATTATTATTAATTACTTTTCTGATAAAATAAATAAAATTGAAATTAAATAATAATGATATATATATATAAATAAACAAATCAAAAGTTATTTTTGTATATATGTATTGAAAGTACCGATACTACTACTACTACTAATACTACTACTACTACTACTTCTAATATTATTATCATTACTACTACTACTACTACTACTACAATGAAATCGCCGCCGAAACCGATACATAATGTCCGACACGTTACCGATATTATCGGTGAATGGGGTCTATGGCAGCTAAATGTGGTTATGTTTGCATTAAGTTGTAATATATTTCTGGCATTTCATACATTGTCGGTATCTTTTTATGCACCAACTACTAGCTACTGGTGCTCAGATAATAATAATAATAATAATGATGATGATGATGGTACAGGTGCTGCTAATATTGGCAATCAAGTAATATAGTGTATAAAATAATTATTGATTATTTGAATTATTGAATTATTGAATATTTATAATAATAATAATAATATTTTTTTATGTAAAAAAGACATTGAAATCAACTGATTATTATTGTCTGAATGGATGTCAAAACTGGACGTTTGATAAGTCAGTATTCAAATCGACAATCATTGATGAGGTAATCATAATAATAATTAGTATTATATTAAAATAATTATAAGTTATTAACAAAAAATATAGTAAAAAAAATAAAATATTTATACAAAACACTTTAAAAAAAACTATTGATATTTAGTGGCACCTAATCTGCGGCCATCAGGAACTGTCATCAGTTAGCCAATCGTTACATATGTTAGGTCACGGTCTGGGAGCCATCATATTTGGCTATCTGTCTGCACGTTTTGGCCGCAAACCAGTACTATGGGTGACAATCATATTGGAAATGCTGGCCGGCCTATCCAGTGCACTGTCAGTCAATGTAATACATTTTACATTATCCCGACTCGTACTGGGAATGGCAACAAACGGTCGTTATCTAACATCGTTTATATTAGGTATTACCACATAATATATAAACTGTATATAAATACATGACATTCAGGACTAATTTAATTATTTTAGTTACCGAAAGTGTTGGACCTAAATATAGGGCCACATTAGGTCTATGTTTTCATTTGGGTTGGGCACTCGGTTATTGTCTATTACCGGGCATAGCCTACTTGTTGCCTAACTTTCGCCATATGATATTAGTAACATCAATACCGGAAATCTTATGGATTGTATGGCTGTATTGGATACCGGAGTCGCCCCGTTGGCTGATAACTGAATGTAAATGGGATCGCTTGGAACCGGTACTCAAACGGGCTGTCCATATGAATTCATTGCCAATCAGTGACTTTCCGGGTCAGTTTCAATCGTTGAAAAAGTATTATATAGGCGATGATAAAAAACAAATAAAAAGTGATAATAATAATAATAACAAAAAGAAATCATATATTTGGGATGTATTGAAGTCACCCAACTTGAGGAGGACAACCCTAATCATGTACTTTACGTGGTTTGTCAATGCATTTGTCTATTTCGGTATATCGTTAAATATTGGCGACTTTGGCTTCAATTTGTTTATCAACTTTTTGATTGCCGGCCTATTGGAAATACCCAGCAGTTTGTTGCCGATAATAGCTATCAATTATATGGGTCGCCGGCCACTTACAGCTGGGCTTATGTACTCGAGTGGACTGTCGTGTTTGGCTATCATACCGTTGCTGATGATGTCCACGGAATGGCCCCGAGTAACCATTGCATTGATTGGCAAGTTTTTTATAACCAGTTCCTATGCTGTTATCTATCCATACGCTGCCGAAATCTATCCAACTGTAGTCAGACAAGTGGGTCTCGGGTCGTGTTCGGTGGCTTCGAGTCTCGGCTGTATAATAGCGCCGTTTGTTAAGGATGTGGTAATATATATAAAACTAATTTATATATATATATTTATTTATATACTGTATATTCAATTCAACTTAATATATATATATAGAGTTTAAGCACCGGTATGAATGTTGTACTATATATTTTGGGTGGTCTATCCATTGTCGACGGTGTGTCCATACATTTTCTACCCGAAACTCGTGGCAAACAAATTGCCGACACTATTGCCGAAGCGGAACAATTCAATATGTATATTGAATTTTATTTAAATGTTTTTTTTTTAAATAATTAATTAATTAATTTCTAATTTGTTTTATAGGCGGCCTATTATTATTACTATTACTACTACTACCTCTACCTCTACTACTACTACTAATACTAAAACATTTAACAATAATAACCCTAATTCTAATAATTATAGCTATGATAACACTAGTTATGATAATAATAATGTTTTAGATACTAAATATTAATTAATTAAAATTTTTTTTATAAATTATTATTATTACTATCTCTGTTAAATTTTATGAAAATTTTAACTTTATACATAAATATATATATATAATATTTAATTTATTTAACACTAATCTAATTAAAACATATACTATATTTATTTTGATTATTATAAATTTTTTAATTTTATTATATATTTAATGCTATTGAAAACAATGATTAAGCTAATTATTATTATATTTTATTAGTTTAAATTTATTTAATTTTAATGTTTAATCATAATTTTTTTAACAACTATTAGTAGTTTTATTATATAAATACTTAGTTTTCTAAAATAGTTACATTTATAAAAAAAATAAATTAAATATAACATTTTATTTTTTTAAAAAAACATAACTGTGTATATATACTGGTATATAATATTTATATTTCATGAATGTTATAAATTATATAAATATTTATAAATTATTTTTTTTATGTATTTGTTATTAAAATAAAATTTCAATTTTGAAAAATACAATATTATTTTTGAAATCACAATTAATTTTGTTTGCAAATCAAAGTTATAACGTAAGCACCGGTACTATGAAACAACAACAGACAACACAATGTGTCCGACAATGTGTCCGACAATGTGTCCGACAATGTGTCTCACAATGTGTCCGACAATATGTCCGACAATGTGTCCGACAATGTGTCTCACAATGTGTCCGACAATATGCCCAACAATGTGTCCGACAATGTGTCCGACAATGTGTCCGACAGTGTCCGTACTGACCATTTTTTTGGGTGGACTGTCTATTGCCGACGGGAGGGGTGTGGGGGGGGGGGTGTTTCAGCACTTTTTTTTGGTGCCTGAAACTCGTGGCCCGAAAAAAATTGCCGACACTATCAATGAAGTGGACCAACTCAATAGGTTTTTTATTATTATTATTATTATTATTAATAATGTTTAATTTAAATCATTACTTAATAATGTTTAATTTAAATCATTACTTAATATTGTATAATAATATAACTTTTAATTTTTTTATTTACAGGAGAAATAAAAATAATAATAATAATATTATAGTTAATTTTTTATTATTTTTAAATATACTGTATATTAAAATATTGTTAAAAAAAGTAAATTTCATTTATTAAAAACAAAATTATTATTTTTTATTTATTAATAATACAAGTATTATACTAATACTTAATATTAAAAATTAATTATACTTTTAGTAACATTAAAATTATTATAAAATAGTTAATAAGTATTATATTTTTTATAATTTTTATTGATTTTGTATTATCATTAGATTGTATATAAAGTAATTGATTTTATCTTAAAAAAAATTAATTAAATAAATAAAAATCATTGTGAAAATTTACTCCAACATATATTAAATATTTATTTACAACTTTTGTTTAATATTTAGTTTAGATAAAAAAAATTAATACATAGTATTCAATGTTAATATTATAATAATAATAATACTGTAATCATTGTAAACTACGTTAATTAAATGAATTATTAACATATTGTTTATATATATTTATATATGTATAAAATAAATTGTAATGTTTGTGATTTATACAATTTTTGATTAAATATTTATTTTATTTTTTGATTCAATAATATATAAAGTTATTTAATTGAAAATAATAATAATAATGAATCTGCACAATTTAACATTAAATTTATCAAATAAATCAATCAAAAAAATTAATAATAATAATAATAATATTTTATATGAAACCCTTATTTTTATATACTATTATAGATTATTATCAGTGATTATATAAACATAAAATTAATTAATTTTTAGTTTTAAAACTAAATATTTATATTAAAAAAAATGTTTTTTATTTTAAAATTAATTTATAATTTATATATTTCTATGATAGTTAATAACTAATTGTGGAAAATTACTACAAAACGGTTTGTAAATATTTAAATAAAATACTATTTTTTAAAAAAAAATAAATTATATACAAACGTGTTTTATTTTTCTAGTTTATTAAATTAATATTTGAATTTAATTTATTTTATTTTTTATTTGAATTTTTTAAAAAGTTAAATATGGAAATAATAATAATAATTAATATCATTTTTTAAACAAAAAAAAATTGTTTTAATAGATTAAAATAAATCATGTAATAATTATTACATTGCATTTATAAAAAAAAAAATTATAATTGTTTTTATATCTATTGTGAATTAAAGTATTAAAACAATAATATATATACTGTATATATATATACATCTATACATATACATCTATACATATATATATATGTGCAATAATTGACTGTTTTAATCATATTGTTTAATTAAGCTGCATCTTGAATACATAAATTTTACTATTATTATTATCATCATTATTATTATTATTAAGTTAATAGTATTATTAAACTATAATTAGTTTATTGAAATAAAAAACAATTATATTTAAATTTTTGTTTACATTATTATAATTAGTTTTCTGATAAAATAAACAAGATTGAAATTAATTATTTTATTTTTTTTAAAAAATATTTTATATATATAAATAAATATAAGTTATATATACTGTATTGAAAGCACCGATACTACTACTACTACAATGAAATCGCTGCCGAAACCCATACAAAATGTCCGACACGTTACCGATATTATCGGTGAATGGGGTCTATGGCAGCTAAATGTGGTTATGTTTGCATTAAGTTGTAATATATTTCTAGCATTTCATACATTGACCGTATCGTTTTATGCACCAACTACTAGCTACTGGTGCTCAGACAATGATGATTATGAAGCTACAGGTGCCCCTGATATTGGCAATCAAGTAATATAAAATTATTATTATTATTGGTTTTAATATATATTATATATTATAATAATTTTTACCTAAAAAAAGACATTTAAATCAAATGATTATTATTGTCTCAATGGTTGTCAAAACTGGACGTTTGATAAATCAGTGTTTAAATCGACAATCATTGATGAGGTAATACACTATTAATACAATTATAGATTTTTTTTTATAAATTACTTAAGAAATTCAGTTAATTTATACACTAATAATACAACAACAAAATTATTGTTAATATTTTTTGTTGTTTAATATTTAACTAATAAAAGTTAGTATAATAATAAAATATACACACAAAAATTAATATTCAAATCGACAATCATTAATGAGATAATCATAATAATAATATACAGATTTTTTAAACACTTTTAAACCATACATTTTTAATTAAATCAATACTTTATATATAAATAAATAAATAATAATAATATAAAATTGTATTATTGCTAATAAATTAGTTATTAATTGTATTTTTTGTGATTTTATAATACTAATAAAAAAAACATAATTTATATTTTCATAAAACTATTTAATTATTATTATGACTAAAATTAAATATTATTTAAATTAATAGTTGATTGATAATCTATCTTAAATAATCTATAGTTAAACTTATATATATTTAGTTATTTAAATAATATCTATAATTATTATTATTATTATTATTATTAGTGGCATCTAATCTGCGGCCGACAGGAACTGTCATCAGTTAGCCAATCGTTACATATGTTAGGCCAAGGACTGGGAGCCATCATATTTGGCTATCTGTCGTCACGTTTTGGCCGTAAACCAGTACTATGGATGACAATCGCATTGGAACTGTTGGCCGGCCTATCGAGTGCACTGTCCGTCAATATAATACATTTTTCAATATCCCGTTTCCTATTGGGAATGGCAACAAACGGTCGTTATCTGACAGCATTTATATTAGGTATATAACCCATAACACCACATACAGGACATGATATTCAATATTTATATCATTTTTTAAATATATTTTTTTTAAAAAATAATTTATTATTAGTTACCGAAAGTGTTGGACCTAAATATAGGGCCACATTAGGTCTATGTTTTCATTTGGGTTGGGCACTCGGCTATTGTCTATTACCGGGTATTGCCTATCTATTGGCAAACTTTCGACATTTGATATTAGTAATAACAATACCGGAAATCTTATGGCTTGTATGGCTATATTGGATACCGGAGTCGCCCCGTTGGCTGATGATCAATGAAAAATGGGATCACTTGGAACAGGAGCTCAAACGGGCTGTCCATATGAATAATTTATTATCCAAAAGTGACTTTCAATGGCAATTTGAATCGTTGAAAAATTATTATATAGGTAATAATGATGATAATAATGATGATGTTAATGTTGATAATGATGGTAAACAAAAAAATAAAAGTGATAATAATAATAATAATAACGAAAATAAACGGTCATATATTTGGGAGGTATTAAAGTCGCCCAACTTGAGGAGGACAACCCTAATCATGTACTTTACGTGGTTTGTCAATGCATTTGTCTATTACGGCATATCGTTAAATATCGGCGATTTTGGTTTCAATTTGTTTATTAACTTTTTGATTGCCGGCCTACTGGAAATTCCGGCCACTTTGTTGCCGATGGTAGCCATCAATTATATGGGTCGCCGGCCACTGACTGCTGGACTTATGTACTCAAGTGGACTGTCGTGTTTGGCTATCGTACCATTGCTGGCACTGTTGGCTGACTGGCCCCGAGTAACCATTGCATTGATCGGCAAATTTTTCATTACCAGTTCGTTCGCTGTTATCTATCCATACGCTGCCGAAATCTATCCAACTGTGGTCAGACAAGTGGGTCTCGGGTCGTGTTCAGTGGCCTCCTGTCTCGGCTGTATGTTAGCACCGTTTGTCAAAGATCTGGTAATAACTATCTATTTGATAATATTAATATAATTATAAAAAAAAATTTAATAAATATTATACATATCTATTATAGAGTTTAAGCACCGGTATGAATGTTGTCCTTTATATTTTGAGTGGTCTATCCATTGTCGACGGTGTGTCCATACATTTTCTGCCCGAAACTCGTGGCAAACAAATTGCCGACACTATTGCCGAAGCCGAACAATTTAATATGTATATTGACTTTATTTTTTAATTAATTAAATAATTATTAATTATAATTTGTTTTTTTAGGCGGACTATTACTAATACTACTACCACTACTACTACTTTAACTAATAATAATAATAATCATCATATTTCTAATAATTATAGTTATGATAATAATAGTTATGATAATGATATTAAATTTTAATTTATTTAGTCATTAAACTTTATATACAGTATATAATATTATATATATATATATTATAATTTAATTATATATCTTTTTTCTTTAGTTAATACATTAAGTTTATATTTATTTAGTTTTCCTACAATTTATTTATTTTATTATAATTTCAATTTTTATTAATGAGTATTTAGTTAGAAGTATTATCACTAGTTTTTTTAATTAGAAAAAAATATTTTTATAATTAATTAATTATTTTTTTAGAAAATTACTTCAATACGGTTGTAAATATCATATAAAATACTGTACATAATCTATTAATTAATTAATTAATGATATAAATAATTTAATATTGACTTTTCTAACGTAAAATATTATCTAATTTTTAACTATATATATTAATAATAATTTTTTACAATATGTTGCATAGTAAAGTGTATTTATATTAAATAATTTATATTTAAAAAACATAAATTACAATTATTATTATTATTATTATTATTATTGTATTATTATTTCAATCAAATTTTATACAACTATTTGAAAAAGAATATTGAAAAAAATTAAATATAAAATATTTTTTATAAATAAATAATAATTTTATATAAATATATATTATATATATTATAAATGATATTAATATTATCATAGATATTATTTGTAAGGCTCAATTGATTTATAAGCTATTGTGTGTTTAGCGCACCGGTACCTAATAATATACTGTACCTATAATATTGATGAACTTGCCTAATAAGCCGACACGTGTCCAACACGTTACCGATATTATCGGTGAATGGGGTCTATGGCAGCTAAATGTGGTCATGTTTTCGGTTAGTTGTGCTATGTTTTTGGGATTTCATACACTTAGCGTATCGTTTTATGCACCAACCATTAACTACTGGTGCTCAGACAACAACAACAACAATGATACCGGTGCTGATAATATTGGCAGCAATAATAAAGTAAGCATCTATTGTCAATAATTTATAACAAAAAAATTGTTTTTTATTATTATTATTTAATATTTGTTTTTTTTCAAAAGACATTATTTAAATCAAATGATTATTATTGTCTGAATGGTTGTCAAAACTGGACGTTTGATAAATCAGTGTTTAAATCGACAATCATTGATGAGGTAATACACACATCAATATTTAAAAATAATTAAAAATATATATATTTATTTATTTTTTAAATAAAAATTATATCTAAAAATAATGTTTAAATATAATTTATAATCATAATAATAATAATATACAGATTTTTTTTTTTAAAAAACACTTTTAAATTATACATTTTTAATTAAATCAATACTTTATATATAWATATAATTAAATTAATAAAATATAAAATTGTATAATTGCAAATAAAAATTAGTAATAAGTTATTAATTGTAATTATTTTAGTGATCTTATAATAATAATAATAATAAATATGTCATAAAACATATATTTATTTTCATAAAACTATTTTAATCATTATGACTAAAACTAAATATTTTAATTAATATTAATTGATAATCTATCTTAAATTAGACACTTTTATTTAATTATCACAAATTTAAAAAACACAATTATACATTATTTTATTTTAATTAAGTAATTTTTTATTTTTAACACTAAAAAACATCAATGTATATAAATAATTATCATTTAAAAATAAACAATATTTGTTAATCATATGATAAATAATATTGATTATCTATTTATACTAATATATAATAATATATATATATGAAATATTTTTTATATAAAAAAAATATTAATTAGTGGCACCTAATCTGCGATCGTCGGGAACTATCATCACTGACTCAATCGCTACTGATGCTCGGCTACGCACTGGGAGCCATCGGTTGTGGCTATCTATCCGGACGTTTCGGTCGTAAACCGGTACTATGGTTGACAATCCTGTTGGAAATTATGGCCGGCCTATCCAGTGCACTGTCAGTCAATATAATACATTTTTCCCTATCCCGACTTGTACTGGGTATGGCAACATACGGTCGGGCACTGACAGCATTTATATTAGGTATATATATATATATATATGGATAGACACCACCTAAAAATTAGGACTAACCCTAAAAAATTATCAAAAAAACAAATTATTAAAATTAAAAACAAACTTAATTATCAATATATATATATATATAATTAGTTACCGAATGTTTTGGACCCAAATACAGGGCTACAGTCAGCCTATCCATACATTTTGGTTGGGCACTGGGCTATTGTCTATTGCCTGGTATAGCCTATTTGTTGCCAAATTTTCGTCAAATGATATTTGCGACATCAATACCCGAAATACTATGGGTTGTATGGCTCTACTGGATACCCGAGTCGCCCCGTTGGCTGATAGCCAACCGTCAGTGGTATCGCTTAGAACCGGTACTCAAACAGGCTGTCCATATGAATTCATTACCACTAAGTGATTTTCAATGGCAATTTCAATCGCTGAAAACTAGCTATATTGTTGCCAATGATAAACAACAAAACATAAACAGTAATGATAATACTAAATCATTTATTTGGGAGGTATTAAAGTCACCCAACCTGTCGAGGACAACCCTAATCATGTACTTTACATGGTTTGTCAATGCACTAGTCTATTACGGTATATCGTTAAATATCGGTGAATTTGGTTACAACCTGTTTATCAACTTTTTTATTGCCGGCCTACTGGAAGTACCGGCCACTTTGGTCCCGATAGTAGCTATCAATTATATGGGTCGCCGGCCACTTACTGCTGGACTTATGTACGCGAGTGGACTGTCGTGTTTGGCTATCGTACCGTTGCTGATGATGTCGGCTGACTGGCCCCGAGTAACCATTGCATTGATTGGCAAGTTTTTCATAACCAGTTCCTATGCTGTTATCTATGCATACGGTGCCGAAGTCTATCCAACTGTTATCAGACAAGCGGGTCTCGGGTCGTGTTCGGTGGCCTCAAGTGTCGGCAGTATATTAGCGCCGTTTGTCAAAGATATGGTAATAATAATAATAACAATAACTGTTATCTAATAATATTCATTTTAAAATAATTAAAACTTAATTTTTTAATATAAAACATATATATACTGTTATATACGGTAGAGTTTAAGCACTGGTATGAATGTTGTACTATACATATTGAGCGGCCTATCCATTGTCGACGCTGTGTCCGTACATTTTCTACCCGAAACTAGTGGCCAACAAATTGCCGACACTGTAGCCGAAGCCGAACAAATCAATAAGTATTAGTTTTATTATTATTATTTAATTTATTATTAATGATTTAACTTTGTATTACAGGAGGATGACTACTATTACTACTAATTAATACTACACTTAATATAATAATAATTTTTGCTTAAGATATCAATTTAATATCAAATTAATATCAATTTAATATCAATTTAATATCAATTTAATATCAAATTAATATCAATTTAATATCAAATTAATATCTATTTAATATCAAATTAATATCAAATTAATATCAAATTAATATCAAATTAATTAGACTTTAGACTAGAGTTTTAGCACAATTTTATATGTTTTTAATCTTAGTATTAGTTTTAAAAATAATTAATAGTTATAATGTATTATTATTACACTTATTATTATTATTTTAATTTATTATTAATAACTAATTCAACTTTGTTTTACATGAGGACTACTATTACTAATAATTAATATTAAGTTACACTTAATAATAATTTGTTGCTTAAGATATCATTATATTATATATTATAATACAAATTAATTAGACTATTTTTAGCACAATTTTATATTACAATATGTAATTGTAATACAAGTTAATATTAATTTTTTTTAAATTTTAAAATACAGATACTTTTATAATATTATAGTTACTAAATTAGTTTGTTTTTTAAAAACTTAATATTGATATTATTGTTTTTTTTGTTAATATTTGATTTATTTATTTTTTATAAAGTTCTAATAAAATGTAAAAATAATAAACAAAATTTAATAATAAGACCAATATATAAACTAGTGTAATATAAATTTCATGATTTATAATTAACTAATAAATAAATTGTTGTTTTTTGATTTTATAAACGTTTTTTTCCTATTAATATCCTTTTAAAAAATTTGACATTTATTTTAATTTTTACACCAAATAGATATTATTACCAATAGAAAAATTTCGATACTGATAATAATAATAATAATAATTATGTAATATTAAATATTAATTTATTTAGTTATAAAGTTGGTATATATTTTTTTTCTAATTTAATTACATATTTTGTTGTTTGTTTTTTGTTTTTATATATATTTATGTAAGTAATTTTAATTTTATCATAAAGTTTATGTATATTTAATAATTGATCTACAATTTAGTTATTTATTTATTAGATAATAATTTCATTATATAAGTTAAACACATTTTAATTATACGATTAATTAATTATTTTTGGAAAATTACTTCAATACGGTTTTTTTAAATAACTTTACATTTATATAATTTACATATAAAATACTGCACATAATTTTTATTTTTGTTATTATTGTTGAAAATCAGATATTATTTTTTTAAGCACTTAATAGTTAGTTATATAGCTATATTGTGTTTAGAGCACCGGTACTACTACTACTACCTGTTCAATGAACTCACCGAAACCGACACCAAATATCAGACAAGTGTCCGATATTATCGGTGAATGGGGTCTATGGCAGCTAAATATAGTTATGTTTTCATTAAGTTGCAATATATTTCTGGCATTAAATACACTTAGTCTACCGTTTTATGCACCAACCATTAACTACTGGTGCTCAGATAACAACAACACTAATAATATTGCTACCGGTGCTGCAGCTGCTGATGATATTGACATCAATAATCAAGTAATAGTATTCAAATAATTGTCAATAATTAATATAAAAAATTATTATTATTATTATTATAATTACTTATAGTATTAATATTTTATTTCAAAAGACACAATCTATTGATTATTATTGTCTGAATGGTTGTCAAAACTGGACGTTTGATAAATCAGTATTTAAATCGACAATCATTGATGAGGTTATTAAACTTATATACAGTATATACTTATATTATTAACTATCTATTATTATTATTATTACTGTATCAATAATAACTAATATTATAGCTATAAAATAATTTTTGCTAATATTTCACCCAAAAATTATAAGTTTTATAATACATATCACAATAATAATCTAATTTCAATCTATTCATACAATCAATTATATTATTTATTTTTATTTGTTTTTCAGTGGCACCTAATCTGCAATCGTCGGGAACTATCATCGCTAACCCAATCGTTACATATGTTGGGCTACGGTCTGGGAGCCATCATATTTGGCTATCTATCGGGACGTTTTGGCCGCAAACCAGTACTATGGATGACAGTTACATTGGAACTGCTGGCCGGCCTATCCAGTGGACTGGCCATCAATGTAATACATTTTACACTATCCCGACTCGTATTGGGAATGGCAGTAAACGGTCGTTATTTGATATCATTTATATTGGGTATTATAATGCAAACCTAACAATTGACACCTCAAACATAACACAACTAATCCTAAAATTTAGTTACCGAAAGTATTGGACCTAAATATAGGGCATCAATGAGTCTATGTTTTCATTTGGGTTGGGCACTCGGTTATTGTCTATTACCGGGTATTGCCTATTTGTTGCCAAACTTTCGCCATATGATATTAGTAACATCTATACCGGAAATTTTATGGCTCGTATGGCTCTATTGGATACCCGAGTCGCCCCGTTGGCTGATAACACAAACTAAATGGGATCGCTTGGAACCGGTACTCAAACGGGCTGTCCATATGAATTCATTGCCAATAAGTGACTTTCAGTGTCAGTTTCAATCGTTGAAAAAGTATTATATAGGCGATGATAAAAAACTAATAAAAAGTTATAATAATAATAACGAAAATAAACGGTCATATATTTGGGAGGTATTAAAGTTGCCCAACTTGAGGAGGACAACCATAATCATGTACTTTACGTGGTTTGTCAATGCATTTGTCTATTACGGCATATCGTTAAATATCGGTGACTTTGGCTACAATTTGTTTATCAACTTTTTGATTGCCGGCCTACTGGAGATTCCGGCCACATTGTTGCCGATAGTTGCCATCAATTATATGGGTCGCCGGCCACTTACAGCAGGACTTATGTACGCGAGTGGAATGTCGTGTTTAGCTATAGTACCGTTGCTGACGCTGTCGTCTGACTGGCCCCGAGTAACCATTGCATTGATTGGCAAATTTTTCATTACCAGTTCGTTTGCTGTTATCTTTCCATACGCTGCCGAAGTCTATCCAACTGTGGCCAGAGATGCCGGTGTCGGCTCGTGTTCGGTGGCCTCAAGTGTCGGCAGTATATTAGCGCCGTTTATCAAAGATATGGTAACTAACAATAACTGTTATCTAATAATATTAATTATATTAATTAAAACTTAATTATTAATATAAAACATAATAACTATATATATCCGGTAGAGTTTAAGCACCGGTATGAATGTTGTGCTATACATTTTGGGTGGTCTGTCCATTGCTGACGGTTTGACCGTACATTTTCTGCCCGAAACTCGTGGCCAACAAATTGCCGATACTGTAGCCGAAGCCGAACAAATCAATAAGTATTAGTTTTATCTTAATTAATAGTTTTATTACATTTATTATTTTAATTTAATATTAATAACTAATTCAATTTTGTTTTTACAGGCGGACTACTATTACTAATCATTAATATTAAGTTACACTTAATAATAATTTTTTTTTCTTAAGATATTATTTAATACAAAATAATTAGTTTTTAGACACTATTTTTAGCACAATTTTATATAATATTACATATATGTAATTGTAGTACAAGTTATATTAATTTGTTATTTTTATAAATTTATTAATAACTCATTCACCTTTTTTTTTTACTGGAAAACTACTATTACTACTAATTAATACTACATTTAATAATAATTTTTTGATTAAGATATCAATATAATAGAAATTAATTAGATTTTTATTAACAATTATGTAAATGTAGTTAAAGTTATATTAATTTGTTTAAAAAAAAAATTTAAAATGCAAATACTTTTATTATAGTTAATAAATTAGTTTGTTTTTTTAAACTTAATATTGATTTTGTTTTTTTTGTTTTATTTTTTGTATTATAGTAAGTTCTAGTAAAATATAAAAATATAAATAATTGACGTAAATATAAAAAAAAATTATAATAAGCTAACTAACTTTTTAAATAATATATATACACTATATATATATATATATATATATATATATATATATATATATATCTGAACTTTTATACTATAGATAAAAGTAAATATATGATTTATGTTTTTATTTAGTTTAATAATATTATATAATAGTTTCATGTACTAAGTATAGTATATTCAACCCTCTTTTTTTTGTTTACACGTGTTTGTCAAATATTATAACAAATTATATTTACAATTATAATTTATATACATAGTATAATCTGCAATAACAATAATTTAATATATATTTTTTTTATTGTTTAATCATCTAAACAATAGGAATTTATTTTTATAATAGTAATAGTAATAATTTTCATTACAATGATTTTGTATTTTAATATACGCAATGTTTCCATGTGATTTAAATTAATAAAAATAAACATAAATTATATTATTAATAATATCAACATTATTATTACTACTGTATTTCAATTAACAATAAAAAAAAGTTTTTTTTTTATTTTATCGATTAGAAATAATTATTATATTATTATTTTGTTTTTTAAAACAAAATTAAATATTAAATACATTGTATAATAAGTATAACTATAATAAAATAAAAATATACTAATAACCTATTATACATATGTACTGTATATATAATATATATATATATATCTATAAATATTCAATAATTACATAAAATATATAACTATATAAACTTATGAAAAAAATTATTATTATAATAATAATAATAATAATATTTATATAATAGAAATTTAATATATAGTTTTAAAATATAAAATTTTATTATTAGAAAAAATATTAAGTATTTTATTTTTGTTGAAAACTTGATATTATTTTTTAAGCACTTAATAGCTTAAAAGCTATTGTTTAGAGCACCTGTACTACTAGTACTACTACTACTACTACCTGTTCAATGAACTCACCGACACCGACACCAAATGTCCGACAAGTAACCGATATTATCGGTGAATGGGGTCTATGGCAGCTTAATATTGTATTGTTTTCAATTAGTTGTAATATATTTCTGGCATTAAATACACTAAGCGTATCGTTTTATGCGCCAACTATTAAATACTGGTGCTCTGATAACAACAATAACTACACTAATTATGTTGATACCGGTGCTGACTATAATCAAGTAAGTGTTAATATATATACAATTTAGTAATTTTTTAAAAAAATTATTATTATTACTATTACTATAATAATTAAATATTTGATTTTTAAAAGACACAATCAATTGATTTTTGTAGCATTGGTTGTCAAAACTGGACGTTTGATAAATCAGTGTTTAAATCGACAATCATTGATGAGGTAATAATAATACTAAAAGTATTAATATTTTATGTATAATTATTTGTCAATTAATAAGCTAATAATAAGTTAATAATATATATATATATAGCTAAATTATTTTACTAAATATAATAATAATCACTATATCCATCGATTAAGTTTTTTTGTGCTAATTATGTATAATTGCTAATAAATACTATTATAGTTATTAATTGTATTTATTTTGATGAACTTATAATACTACTAAAAATGTCATAATTTTTTAATATTTTCATAAAACTATTTAATCATTATGATAATAAAACTAAATATTATTTAAATAATTGATTAATAATCTATATTAAATAATCTATAGTTAGACTTATATCTAATATCTATAATAATAATAATAATTATTATTATTATTATTATAATAATAATTAGTGGCACCTAATCTGCAATCGCCGGGAACTATCATCGCTAACTGAATCGCTACATATGTTGGGCTACGGTATGGGAGCCATCATATTTGGCTATCTGTCCGGTCGGTTTGGCCGCAAACCAGTACTATGGATAGCAATCATATTGGAAGTATTGGCCGGCCTATCGAGTGCACTGAGCGTCAATATTATACATTTTTCAATATCACGACTCGTACTGGGAATGGCAGTTAACGGCCGTTATTTGACATCATTTATATTGGGTATTATATATAATACACACCCCCAAAACAATTGACACCACCAAACATGATAACGACAACTTAATCTTTTAATTTAGTTACCGAAAGTATTGGACATAAATATAGGGCCACATTGGGTCTATGTTTTCATTTGGGTTGGGCACTCGGCTATTGTCTATTACCGGGTATTGCCTACTTGTTGCGAAACTTTCGCGAAATACTATTAGTAACGTCTTTACCGGAAATTTTGTGGCTCGTATGGCTCTATTGGATACCCGAGTCGCCCCGTTGGCTGATAACACAATCTAAATGGGATCGCTTGGAACCGGTAGTCAAACGGGCTGTCCGTATGAATTCGTTGCCAATAAGTGACTTTCAATATCAGTTTCAAACGTTGAAAAAGTGTTATACAAACGATGAACAACAACTAAATAATAATAATAATAACGAAAATAAACGGTCATATATTTGGGAGGTATTAAAGTCACCGAACCTGAGGAGGACAACCCTAATCATGTACTTTACGTGGTTTGTCAATGCATTTGTCTATTACGGTATATCGTTAAATATCGGCAGTTTTGGCTTCAATTTGTTTGTCAACTTTTTGATTGCCGGCCTACTGGAGATTCCGGCCACTTTGTTGCCGATGATAGCCATCAATTATATGGGTCGCCGGCCACTCACTTACGGACTTATGTATTTAAGTGGACTGTCATGTTTGGCTATCGTACCGTTGCTGGCCCTGTCAGTTGACTGGCCCCGAGTAACCATTGCATTGATCGGCAAATTTTTCATTACCAGTTCGTTCGCTGTTATCTATCCATACGCTGCCGAAGTCTATCCAACTGTGGCCAGAGATGCCGGTGTCGGGTCGTGTTCGGTGGCCTCTAGTATTGGCAGTATATTAGCCCCGTTTGTCAAAGATCTGGTAATAACTATCTATTAATATCAATAATATTAATATAACAAAAACATAATATACATTATATATAGAGTTTAAGCACCGGTATGAATGTTGTGCTATACATTTTGGGTGGTCTGTCCATTGCTGACGGTTTGACCGTACATTTTCTGCCCGAAACTCGTGGCCAACAAATTGCCGACACTGTTGCCGAAGCCGAACAAATTAATAAGTATTTTTAATAATTAATTTTTTATTTAATTTTTTTTATTGATTTAATTAATTAATTAATTTTTTTACAGACGCACTACTAATGCTATTATTTTTACTACAACTACTAATAGTAATACTAATAATAATAATAATAATAATAATTATGATAATAATATTATTAATAATACTAGTAATTTGGATAATAGATATTAATTTTTTTATTTAATTTTTAGAAAACAATTTTTATATTTATTATTTATAGATATTATAAATTGTTAATTTTTATTATATTAATAAATTAAATCAATTTTTTTTATACTAAACAATTCAATTTACAACAGTATTATATTACATTAGTTTTAATTAAATTAATTAATTGTTATATTTATTTATTTTATATAATAGAAAATATTATTAACATATATTTTTTGTTTGTTATATCTATTAATATTATTGTATATAAAAAAAACATATGAATAAATATTAGTACATAAGTTTACAAAATTAATAATAATAAAATAAAAATATAATAATAAATATTTTTACATTTGTATGATAATCATATGATATATACATGTATATATTTATTTTTAATATTTATTTGTTTGTTTATATTTAATATCACCAACAAAAAATTTATGTCATTGAAATTTTATTATTTTTAATTAAAAAAATTGTCAATTGATAAAATTAAATTTTTATTTATTAAACATAGTTAATACATACATACATCCTGATTAATATTTAATTACTTAATATTTATATATATATCTAATAAAAACTTTAGATTTATATTTCCAAAAAAAATAATATATATATTAATATTGTATAAATAAAATAAAATGTTTTTTTATAATTGACATATTTATATAAATAAAATACATGTACAAATAAAAATTATTTATTATTTAGTATATATTTTATTAATATTAATAATCTTATCTTAATAGTAAAAATTTATATATTTTTTAATACTTAAAAAATAAATATTTTTGTTTTTCTAAAAAAATTAAATTAAACATTTATTTTTTTATTTCAAAAATTATTATAAATATTATATTATATATGCTTTATTTATATAATTAATTAATGATGACGACGAGCACCGGTAGTGCAAAATCGGTCGGACAACAACAAACTGTCCGACACGTTACCGATATTATCGGTGAATGGGGTCTATGGCAGCTAAATATTGTTGTGTTTTCAATTAGTTTGCAATTGTTTTTGATTTGGCATACGCTTAGCGTATCGTTTTATGCACCCACCATTAGCTACTGGTGCTCAGACAATAGTACTGATGCTGGTCTAGGCAACAATCAGGTAGGTATTTATTTATTTGTAAAAATAATTATGCTATTATTATTAATAGTTATTAAAATTATGAATAGTTATTAAAATTATGAATAGTTATTAAAATTATGAATAGTTATTAAAATTGTGAATAGTTATTAAAATTGTGAATAGTTATTAAAATTATAAATAGTTATTAAAATTATAAATAGTTATTAAAATTATGAATAGTTATTAAAATTATGAATAGTTATTAAAATTGTGAATAGTTATTAAAATTATAAATAGTTATTAAAATTATGAATAGTTATTAAAATTATGAATAGTTATTAAAATTGTGAATAGTTATTAAAATTATAAATAGTTATTAAAATTATAAATAGTTATTAAAATTATAAATAGTTATTTAAATTATGAATAGTTATTAAAATTATGAATAGTTATTATAATTATAAATAGTTATTATAATTATGAATAGTTATTATAATTTTTTAATAGTTATTATAATTATGAATAGTTATTAGAATTAATTAATTGATTAAATAAATAACTAAATTATTTTATCATAAAAGACACTAACATTAGATGATTATTGTCTGAATGGTTGCCAAAACTGGACGTTTGATAAATCAGTATTCAAATCGACAATCATTGATGAGGTAATCATAATATTAATATTTAGATTAATTAAAATTTTTTTATTTTTTTTAATAAAAATTATATCTAAAAAATTGTTTAAATATAATTATAATTGTTTTTTTAATTCATATCCACACATAAAAAACAACTACAGTTTCATCTGATATGCGATAGACAAGGATTGGCATCACTCAGCCAATCGATGTATATGTTAGGCTGGGCACTGGGAGGTATTATATTTGGTATACTATCCGACCGATTCGGCCGAATACCGGTACTATGGATAACAGTTATATTGGAGATAATGGCCGCCACTTCCAGTGCACTGGCCGTTAATGTTACACATTTTATGATATCCCGTTTTGTATTGGGAATGGCTACTGAGGGCAGTTATTTGACGGCATTTATTTTGGGTAATACATCCATACATACCGTTATATAAACTTATTATTTAAAAAAAATCCATTATTTACTAATTAGTTGCCGAATGTGTTGGACCTAAATATAGGGCCGCATTGGGTATGATCTTCCAGTTTGGTTGGGCTGTCGGCTATTGTCTATTACCGGCCATTTCCTATATGCTGCCAAACTTTCGACATATGATATTAGCCAAAACTTTGCCGCAAATCTTATGGCTAGTTTGGCTGATATTCATACCCGAATCGCCCCGTTGGCTGTTAACACACGAAAAATGGGATCGATTGGACAGGCAGTTGAAACAGGCCGTCCAAATGAATTCATTGCCGGCCAATGATTTGGATAGTCAGTTGAAATCGTTGAAAAATTCATATATAATTGAACAACAAATTACTGGCCAAAACAATAACGGCAACAATAGTAGCAATAATAAGACAAACTATTGGGATCTATTTAGATGGCCTAACCTCCGGAGGACAACCCTAATCATGTACTTTACATGGTTTGTCAATGCATTTGTCTATTACGGTATATCGCTGAACATCGGCGACTTTGGCGGCAATCTGTTCATCAATTTTCTGATCGCCGGTTTGCTAGAGTTTCCCAGTTTTCTATTGCCGACACTAGCCTTCAAATTTCTAGGCCGTCGGCCACTGAATGCTACGCTAATGTATTTGAGTGGACTGTCCTGTTTGGCAGTCATACCGTTTATGACCATCGATAGTGTCTGGCCGCGTGTGACCATTGCTATGATCGGCAAATTTTTTATTACCTGCTCGTATAATATTGTCTACGTTTATGCGGCCGAAGTCTATCCGACTGTCCTCCGGCAGATGGGTGTCGGCACGTGTTCAGTGGTCGCACGTGTGGGCTCTATGTTAGCACCGTTTGTCAAAGATGTGGTAAAAATATTAATTATATTATCTATATATTTATTATAATTAACTATTTATATATATTTATTATTTCTATTTAATTAATCAATTTTATTGCTACACATATATATACACACACACATACACACACACATACACACATATATATATATATATACATACATATATACACATATATACATACACACACACATACATACATACATACACACATACATACACATATACATACATACACATAAACAGAATATCTATACGGGTATGAGTGTAGTACTGGCCGTTTTCGGTGGTCTGTCCATTGCCGACGGTGTGGCCATACATTTTCTGCCCGAAACTCGGGGCAAACAAATTGCCGATACTATCCAAGAAGCCGAACAACTTAATAGGTTTTGTTATATAATATTTAGATATTTATAATTATTTTTATAGATAATGTAATTATTTATTTATAAAAATTATAAATAATTTTTTTTTGCAATTAATTATTAATTATCTAAAATTATTGTTATTTTATTTTTTTTATAGATGGACTAAAAACAAAAATAATAATAAAGATAACTTAAAAGTTAATAATAATAATAATTTAGACCATTAAATATAAATTGTTAATCAAGTTATATAAATTTTTTATTATTATAAATATTTAGACATTAAGACAAATGTAAATATTTTATATTAATTAAATATTGAATTTTTTGAACTAAATTTATCAATAATAATAAATTAATTTATAATTAGATATTTTTTCACAATGATTTTTATTTTATTAATTAATTTTTTTTTATAAAATTAATTAATTTATATACAGTACAATCTAATGCTAATATAAAATCAATAAAATTAAAAATACTTAACTTATTAAAATTTAATAATAATTTTAATGTTGCTAAAGTAAAGTATATTAATTATAATTTTAAGTATTAATGTATTATTAATAAAAATAATTTTGTTTTTAATAAATATGATTTACTTTTTAATAATATTTTAATATATAAATAAATATACAGTATATTTAAAATTAAAATTATTAAAGATATTATTATTTTTATTTCTTCTATAAATAAAAATATTTAAAGTTATATTAATTTATGAATTAATGATTAAATTAAATATTAATAATTATAATTAATAATAATAATAATAATAATTAATAATAATAATAATAATAATTAATAATAATAATAATAATAATAATAATAATAATAATTAATAATAATAATAATAATAATAATAATTAATAATAATAATATTAATAATTAATAATTTTCGGTGATGTCTATCCATTCCCGACAGTGTGTCCGTACATTTTCTAGCCCGAAACTAGTGGCCAACAAATTGCCGATATTATCGTAGTTTTTTTTATTTATATTTATGTTTTTTATAAATAAAAAACAATTATAGTTTATTTTTTTAAATACTTATTATCTATTATAAATTGACTAAATACTGTATATAGATAATAAAAATTATTTAAAAATTATTAGTAATTTTGACCATTAAATAAAAATAATTTTTTATAAATATATAATTTTTTAATTATTAATCTAATAATATATAATTTTATTTTAACTTTAAGATAGATGTAAATATGATATTTAAATTTAAATATTAATTTTTTTATCTAATTAACAATTTTTTCAATAATAAAAAATTATTTTAAAATTAGTTGTTTTGCAATAGTAATTTTGTTTAATTGAAAATAAAATAAACATTTTAGTGTAAAATAAATAAAAAAAAATTTATAGATAAAAACCATACAATTTTACAATTAATCTATAATAATAAATATGTTTATAAATATATATATATATATTATAAACAATTTGTCAATCATATAGAGTATGAATCATAATGTTTTGAAAAAAATTTAGTTATTTATATAAATATTTAAAAATTGATATCAATTTTTCAAACATATAATTTTGACAAATAATTACTCATTTAATATAATGTATTTTTTTAGCAATTATTTGCCAAATATTTAATTTTATAATTAAATCAACTAAAATCAATATTTTTAATTAGATTTTTATTGTAAATAATAAAAATAATTTAATAATGACTATTAATGACTATATAATGATTATATATAATTACAATTATCATTGTCAGACTAATATACAGTACAGTATAATATTTAAGTTATACATAACAAACAAATTAAAAAAAAATATTTGGTATATAATTATGCTTTTTTTAAAAAAATGTAAATATTATATATATGAGTATACATTAAATAATATATATATATAACATATGTGTAAAATATATAATTTATATTATGAATCCACAATAAATATTATTTTTTATTATATAATAATGCAATAATATTTTATTGTTTTGTTAGTTATTGATTGATTGATTGATTTATATTTTTTTGGCACAATTGAAATAACCCGTCAATTAATTTATTAATTTGTAAATATTGTATATATATTAGGGTTTGGGTTGCATCGGGTCTCGGGTCGGGTCGACTCACTCACACACTCACACACACACACACAACTACACCCACCCGTCCGTCCTCTTTAATATTTCGGTCTAATTTTCATTTGTGCCGCTTTCAGGTGCTGCGAGTGTTTCCACGAGTGCCACTGTATGCCCTGCCAGACATGCTGGCGCCCAGTGCGGCCATAGTAGGGTGCAGTCAACAGTGCACTCTGGCAATTATGATACCACCAGCCGGCCTGCAATTTCAGGGCACAGTTATCCCGACTGATCAGATTGTTGTTGCGATCGTGTGTGGAAAATAGCGAACCATTGTGTGCCAGCAATGACTGGCCGACGGTAGTGTTGGCCGATATTGACTGACCTAACTGTTGTCCGCATTAATAGACACCAATCCAATCCAAGTGTTACAATCAATAGGTTTAGTATTATAGTATAACACTTACGTGCAGCCGATAGTTGTCCGATTCGCCGCCGACCCGAAAGCCGTCGTATACTATGGATACATAGTCGCCGTCAAACGATTCCAATTCGACCAGCAATTGATGATTGCCGACGGCCGTCATCTGATGGACAGATTCCAAGCCCAGCCAAAATTCGCCGGTATCGCGATCGCCGAAACCGTCCCGATAGCCGGTCCACGATTGCTCGAAACTGATCCGATAGCGCGATCGGCCAAAATCGCCGCGTCTCAGTATAACCTGATTTGGTAATAATAATAATAATAATAATGGGGTTTATTAGGGCACCGGTAGTAACTAATGCTGACTAATTATAGATATTAACAAACATACCGTCCAACCGCCGCCGTTGTCGCTCATATCGCAATAGACGCGCAACAGTCGCGAGTTGGCCACCGATATAACATAAACGCCGTCACAGTTGGCGCCACTAGTGTACAGTTCACCGCAGCTTTTCGGTGCCAATAAGTGTGACGATCGTTGGCAACTGGAAGCGCCCAGTGGCCGATTGGCCAGTCGTATGGTTTTGCGTTGACTACTGGCGGTAAACTCTACATTACCGCTGCTGCTGCTGGCGTTGTGGACAATCACCGGCGGTGTGTTATCCGGCAAAATACTTCGGGCCTTCAGATTTGGATGACTACCCGCTGCCGACGTCGCAGCCGTACATTGACTGACATATTCCTCCAGTTTGCTGCCGATGATAGACATTTCGTTTTCAATGCGGACACCAATCTGTTCCAAATGGACGTCCATTTCGTGTTTAATGGCCGTCATATTGACGCCATTGGTTGGTCCACATTGTTGTTGCTGTTGTTGTTGTTGTTGATCAGTATATATACTATCAAACACTTTGTCGCTGATCTGCTGCTGTTGTTGTGGACGATTAGCCTGTTTTTTATCTGAACACTCGGCCCGTATATCAAGCATTTCCTGATTGAACGTATCCAACGTTCCCAATATATCTTTACCGATTTGGCCGACACCGGACACATCGCCCCGGATCCTGGCCTCCATAATACTCATCTGTTCCAATACTTTCTTCTTCAACTCGTCAATCTGATCTGAACCTTCACCGTCGCCATCATCACCGTTACCGATATAGCCGCCACCGACGGTACCTGACCTCGATCTGACCCCTTTCAGCAAACCGTTAGCGTCTTTACTTAGATCATAGGTATCGAAGACAACATTCATCAGCTTCCGTAGTTTGGCATCGCTATCGTTGCCCACTTTGATCACATTGTCGGCCACATGATTGATCCGATTGTTGATCGTAGTCTCGGCTGAATCCATCTTCAGTTCCATGGCTTGCAGCCGATCGACCAACAACTGGTTGGCCAGTCGATGATTGTCCATTGAGTCGACAATTTTATCGACTTTAGTGGCCAGAGTCATCAATCGCATCTCCATTACCGTAGTTCGCTGGTCAAACTTATCAATTGCTTGCCATATCTGGTTTACCGTTTTCTGGGTGTCCTCCATAATGTCACGTTTGCGGCCTTTTTGGCCATCAATTGACGTAACAATTGTCGCAACTATTAGCAGATAATGGTAACAGAGTTTTGCCATTTCTTTTTGTCGATTGATTGGTTAGTTGTATGGTTTAAATGGTTGATCAGGTAATCAAAAAATAATTGGTTTTAAATTGAAGTAAAAAAATATAACTTCCGTTTCTCTTAGAGGTCAAAAAAAATAATGATTTATTTTATTAGTAGTCAATATATATATCATTATTATTACTAGTAGTAGTATTTAGTAGTACTTTCTAGTAATAGTTAATAATTTTTTAGTCATATATATATTTATTAGTATTATTAGTATCATTTAGGTGTATGTCTATTAAAATGTGAGAAAATTTATATTATTATTAATAAAAATAATGTTATTAATAATGAATGATGAAAACATAAATTTTTCTCAACTCAAGTGTTAATAACATTTAGATAATATAATAATTATCTTAAATATAATAATACAGTAGTTATAAGTTAAAACTCTATATCAAATTATTGGTAATAATATCATTATTAAAAGTCAACTAAAACTTTATATATTAAACTTAATATGCGATAAATGCGATAAACATTTCAAGTTTGGGGAAATGTATGTGTGTTTGGGAAGTAACCAAATTTTGTGATTAACTGATTACTACTACCACTACTACTAATAATAATTAGTAAAATCAATAAATATTTAATTTATATTAATACTACTGGTGCTTACATTTCAAAAATTAAATTGTTAAAATAGTACAGTAAACTATACAGTTTACTGTACTATTTTATTAATCAATTTATTATCAATCAGTTAGTTTTCAGGTCCCCCCCCCCTTAACTAATCATATTATAAATTATAATACAATATACTGTATGATTCATATATTTTTATAAACTTAGATTTGTATATACTGTATATATAAGTTTAAGTTAATATATATTTATATAAAAATTTATATATATATATATACTAAACACTTTCTCTTCCCAATTAGTAATTGAATTTATTATTTAAAAAAATATATTATGTTTAACTGATTTTAGTTTTCTCATCATTACTGATACTAACCAACAACAAAAAACATATACCGTATAAGTCAGCAAAAAAATTTGGTTTTTTTTGGTTGGGTTCAAAAATCAATTTTTATAAATAATCGTTAATTTATATATAAATCTAAACTGTATATACAGTTTAGATTGCATACATGTCACAACAGTCATGTCAATCAATACCATTCAATATAATCAATTAATTAATAAATAAATAAATTTTTATTAAAAAAATACACATTCAAGATATTGTCACAATTGATAATATTTGTGAACACTATTTAAGATAATTTAATATAAATATATATATATAACTGTCTAATTTTAATCATGGATTTTATATATAGGTATGCTTAGTAACACCATCACAATTGGCCGGTTAGATTATCGATATATATAGAGAGAGAGAGAGGGGGGTTCGGTGAGGGGGGCTAGTAGTTTTTTACCAATCACTTTGAATGATATTTTTTATTAATCAATTCAATTAAACGACTAAATTGATTGATAATTACGCCAAAAAAAATAATTAATACTATCAATACATGATGTATATCACACACACACACACACACACATAAAACTATTTAAATAAATTATCAGTTAAATAGATGATAAAATTTAAATGTTTAAACACAAAAAAGTCAATAATAGTAATTAAATATTTTTTTCCCATCAAAATAATTTTTTAATAATATGTAGTTATACGATATACTTATACCTTAATATTAAGGATCAATTAAATTAAATAAAATAAAAATTATTGACACAAAACAAAAGTAAAACTTTCCATATTTTTTTGGTAAACCATCAGTTGATATGATTATTATTATTATTACTAAACTTATTATTGAATTTTTATGTTTGATTTATTGAGTCTCTCTCTCTCTCTCTCTCTCTCTCTCTCTCTCTCTCTCTCTCTCTCTCTCTCTCTCTCTCAATGTCAATGTTTTTTCAAAAATCATATAAATAAATATATATATATATATATATATATCACATAATACTTGATATATTGATATAAATCGATAGAAAAAGTTTGGTTCAATTATTTTATAACGATATATATTGTTTTACATACAAACAATAGTACAAACAATATAACAATATTATTATTACAATTATTATTAGTATTAATATCAATGAAGCCTTTATTTCCGATACTAATTATTTGGCAAAAAAAAATTTTTTTGTTGTATATTAATAGCATTTTTTGTTTGTTTGGTTGTTTCATATACTATACTTATATTTTATTTGTATATTTTTTTAATTAGTTAGCACTGGTATGTACTACTAAAGTATTGTAGTATAATTGTTATCATAGAGGAACTGTATGCCAGAAACAGAACACAGGGATGTATTAAATATATGAGTGACCTCTCACTCTCTCTCTCTCTCTCTCTCTCTCTCTCTCTCTCTCTCTCTCTCTCTCTTATCAAACATCAAAAAAAGGAAAGGCTTATAATAATAATAATAATTTTTATTTATTTATTTATTATTCAAAATGCATTATTAATTTACAAATTAATAATATCAATAGTAGTATACATGTATAATAATAATAATAATAATACATTTTAATAGCAAACAATCATCTGATTTGTAATTGAGTGAAACAAATGATAAGAAATAATATTAATATAATATATTGAATATAATAATAATTATTATTATAAAAAAATTGAAATTATAAAAAAGCGCCAAAAAATAATATATATATATATATATTGTTTGGTGTGGAGAGAGAGACAGGGAGGGAGGGGTGGGTGTGTTGGGAAGTCATAGTTTTACGATACACTCTCAAAGTCTTGCATTTTTGCCTGTATTTGAGCCAACTTTTCGCCCTTTTTCAGTCCAATGGCAAACGCATAGACACGACTGTCCACAACAATACCACGTTTGCTATATTCATTTAAACGATCGAGTAGGCCGTTAATCGGTACCTGGTGTACCTCGATTTCGGTATGTTTCTCATTATGATGGCCATTGATAAAACCGTTTTTAATCGGATCGTCGCCGTCGACCACCAACGATACCAATCGGACCTTTCCGTCGCACAGCTCTGTTATATATAGTCAGGTCATCCACAAAAAAAATTAGGGATCAGTTAGTTATCAGTAGATCAGGTTAAACATCAAATCAAAATTTATGTATAATATATACAAACCGGGATCTAATGCCGTTTCGGGACTAATATGATGAATATCTGTCGACTTATAGCCGGTATTGTTCTCAATGTCTTCGATGGCCACTTCGCCAGTCTCTTCATCGCTTTCTTCGTCGCTTTTTTCGTCAATAGCCGTATGTTCGACAATCTTTGCCGGAAACTCCAGGGCATAGGCCTTGAGTGTCGGCCGATATTGTTTGATTAGTAGCAAACAATCGCATCGGATGTGTTGCCTAAGTATGGCTATACTCAGGACACTGACTGTATCTTCAGTCGACTGTTGATTGTTACCGATTGTATACTTTTTTCGTATAATTTCGGCCGATTTCCGATTACCCGAATCGTCTTCAAACGTATATTTACTTAATTGCAGGGATTTGCCAGTAAATAGTAGTTTTTCGGACAACGGTTTGAATAGACTGGTGTCCCAACAGCGGTCATCGATGGATATGTCACTCATTTTGCGCATTGTTGGCATATGGAGAAGCACTTCTGTCATATTAGTCGTTGATGTCGGTGCTGGTGTTGGTGTCGGTGCTGCTGCTGATGATGATTTCTTATTGTTGTTGTCGATATCACTACTGTCGACCACTATTGACTGGGAACTGGTATTTATAATAGACATTTCGGTATAGTAGTAGTAGTAGTAGTAGTTGGGTGTTGTAGAAGTAGGAGGAGGAGTAGGACAAGTAGGTCTGGTTTGGGGTTAATTTTTTTTTATGGTGGGTTTCGTGTGTTAGATACGACACCGTCAAATGGGTTAATATACACACACACTTTATTGGTCTACAAAAATAAATTAATTAAATTTATACAAACAATCAAAATATATAAATAAAACCTAATTGTAAATAATATATATATATATATATATATATACTGTATATTTGAAACCAAACAAACAAATGATTCAATAAACTTATTTGATTTCAATGGCAATCAAAAAATTTCTATTAAAAGATATTATTATTAATAATAATAAGCTTATAATTTATATAAAGTCTTGCACTTTATATATTTATATATTTATATATTTTATGCGATTAAATCAAAATAAGTTTTTCAAATCAAAAATCAAAATCAACAACAAAAAAATGTTTATTGAATCGCACACTCGTTTAGCAGTGTATATATTATAAAAATTGTTTTTTAATATTAATATTAATTATACAGTAATATAAATAATATTTAAAAATATCGATTAGAAAAAAATTATTATTATTAATGCATTTAATTTTAAGTATTAGTTTACGTAATAAATTTTTTTTTCTACTATTGATAAGCCATTCAATCAAATGTATATCAATATGGATAGTCCAGTGGGTTGTTGTTGTTAACTGTTAACAGCGACTGCACGTGAAGGTTACCTATTGGGTATGGTTAGGGGGTTGGGGGGTATCGGTATATATATACATATATATGATATCGATTATGGAAAGTTATTGGGATAGGGAGGCGATGGGGGGGAGGGGAATGGTAGGCTAAAATAGATAGCAATGACTGAAAATGATGTTTTTTTATGTATATATAAATTACTTATAAAACGATAAGATTTTTTTTTTGGTAGTTGTCGTCGCCGTTTAGAAAGCAATACAAAAAAAATTAATAGTTAATCAATAGATATATATATATATTTATTTCAATACATTTATACTGTACATTGAGATATAAATATATATATAAATATATTAATTGATTACACATTTTTAAAAAAATAAGTTATCACTTATTTACCCAGTGATCACTGGTTTACATTATGGTTTTTGAAAGTTAATTATAGTTTTTTTTTATAGTTGTATATATTATAAACTTGGTTAATATAATATGATAATTATCTATTTGGATATTTCAACAGTTAGTTAGTTAGTACAGTATTTTTTTTTTATTAAATAAATACTAATTTGTATATTAATAATAATTATGGTGTCAACGGCACCGGCAATAAAAATTGTTGTCTCAATGAAAATATATAACAAAACAATATCTTATATTTGACTTTAACTTTAACTTAAAGTATTTTTTTTAAATTTTTTTGTATAACATGTGCCAAACACATGTTATTCATTGGCAAAAATACAATAAATCAATTAATTAAGTTTTTTTTTAAATAAAAAAAACCTCAATATTTGTTATGCAATATTACTAAATTATAAATGAAACTTATTATTATTATTACTACTACTACTACTAAATATAATTTTATTTTAGTGATATAAAAAAATGTTAAATTAATAAAAATTCACAATAGATAAGAAATAAATATTGTTTATTAGCATTAAATTGTGTTGTTTTTGTTGTAAATTATGGTTTAATTTTAGGAAAATTTTTATATTTATGCAAAATATATAAATTATATATTGATATATATATGCAATATTATAAAATTGTTTCACTAGTATACTAGTATTCAGGATATAGCTGTTATGATAACATACATGTATATTATAATATTAAATAAATTATTCAATTATGTAATATAAATATTTAAAGCTATTGCTTAGATATTACTTAAATCGGTCAATAAACCACATATTGTATATATATATTAATACTAATATAAATTTATATTAATATAGTATATATATATATATTTAGATATTATAATTCAGTATAAAATATATTAATAGCTAATCAATAGATTCTCTGGTATTTAATAAAAATAAATGATATTAGAAATTAATAACCTTATGAAATAAAACTCATATATTTTATATAAAAGTTTTTATTATTTACTGTATATTTACTGTAAGTATTATATCATTTTTAAGGCAAATATTTATTACAATTATGTCCATCAAACCCAATATAAAAATTATTATATATAAAAATCGATTTGCTATATTTATATGTTATATCTAAATATTATTATCTATCTATTTATATAAACTTGTCTAGTATAGTTTAAATATTTAATTAAAATAACAAAATTGTCATCAATAGACATGTTAAATATATATATATATATATATATTAAACCAAAGGTTATTCAAGTATTTTGAACTGTATTTACTGTTTATTACTATAGAGTTATATAATAATTATATACAATTAATTCAAAGTATTAAATATTTTTTTATTTTAGATTTTTTTTACTTATATTTAATTATTTCAATTATTCAATGCAAATATTATTTTCTCTATAAATTATATACCCTAATATTGCATATATTATTCAAACAATTTTTATATAATTTTGACTAAAAATTAATTTATAATAATAATTATTATAATAAAAATTACTAATATATTTTAAATTGAATAATTAAAACTAATATATATAATCTACAGTATATATTGGATGTTAATTATGAGATAATATCTAAATTAAAATTAAAAGTCCAAATTGAGTGCATTATTTTTTTTTAAATTAATTATTTAGTCTATTAATTATATATATCACATATTTTAACCAGTTAAGAATGCTAGAAAGCATTATCAGAAAAAAAACTTGACGGTATAAAATATTATGTTCGCAAATTAATTGTCATTTATAAGAAATAAACCACATTTATATAAAATTTTAATTTTATTTTAAACATCAAATATTAAATACAAAAGTATATTTAAAATAAGGATATAATAAATGTTATATATAGATTTATGGTTTACAATACATCGTAAATATCTTGATTTGGTTCAACACATTTTGTGCAAACAAAAGTGCTTTGTGTTGTGTTATTATCCTGCTGACAATTTTGATGAAATCTTTCACCACATTGTGTACAGCGAATCATATTATTATTAAATGTTTTCGAACACAAACAATGTAGAGTTGGTATTGTTATGTATTTGGATTTGGCTTCGGTATTTCGTGTAATTGGCAATGAAATTTGTCCTGATTCATACCATCTTTGTAATCTTTGACGCAAATTGAAACTATTTTCAGTTAGTCTTATTGAACTTGGATTAATACCAGAAATATTTAATGCCATATTCATTAAAGCATAAACACCACAATCATTAGAATTTGGCTGTTTTGTTACTCGCCAAAATTGATATTTTAATTGAGGTGTTATGTCGAGTTGTCTTATATGTGCACTTGCGACGCGTACAATTAATTCGCTAACAGATAATGCGTTAACCGAATCATAAACATTACATGTAATTGTTGTTGATGATGTATATTGAATATTGATGTAAATCCAATGATTACCAGTGTTAACAATATGGTGTAATTCTTGTCCAACATTAGTGAAATAATACTTAGGTTTTAAATATAGATAATTTTGTTGAAAACGATAAGAAGTTTGAAAATTAAGTAAGTTATTATTATTTGCTTGATTGCTAAAAATGACAGCCATTCCATTTGTAATTAGAGAATCGTTTAGCCATCCACTGTTTTCTGATCCATCAAGTAATCCTAAATCACTTGTTACAAGATCTTCATGTAAATAAGTATTTTTTGCCTTTGAAAGCCAAATATTATTTGGTAATTGATGATCTTGTAATTGCGTGTGCTTTTCTATATCTTCTTGTGATAGTCTTAAAGCAGTTATTTTAGAATCTTTCACTTTTAAATAATCTTCAATTGTTTCTTGAGATAATTTAGTTAGTACAACTGAAGATTCTTTAATATCATCTAATCGGTTGTCTTTAAATGTAGCAGCAAAATGACTTTGTTGTGATATTGGTTTTAATGTATTATTAAGATCGTTTTCTTCATTATTTGATGAGTAACTTGATTGAGAACTAACGTCAGTAACACATTCGCTATCGCAAACATCAATCCAAAATGGTATGTGATAGCTTCCATAAAAGTCATACTGATAAATTTTATCATTTTTATTACTTGTAAAAATATAATCAATTTGATTTCTATAATTAGTTGTAACTATATCATCTGATATTAAATATGTCCAATTATATGTTTTATTAGTTAAATTAACTAATGTTTGTCCGCTTTTAGTAGAATAATCAACATTGAAATCGCCACATATTATAATATGTTGAAAATTTGATGTCTTATTAGAAATGTTATTAAGTATATTTTTGAGAGTATCAAATGGAAGACCAGATGATAAATACACACCAACAACTGCAATGTTATAAAATTTGACAAAAGAGATTTCATAATGCCAAGTGGGTTTGTCATTACTATCCATGACAGAGCAAACAAATGCTGCATTAATAGACTTCTTAGCATATATAGCAACGCCTCCATTTGCAATTGTAGAATTTTCTAAGTAAACATGGCTTATAGCTGACAGTTCACCAATATTAGGTAATAAATTGTATTGACTTTTTATTCTTGTTTCTACTAAAATTAGCAAATCAGATGCCAATATGTTGTCATCACTTTGTAAATCTAAATGATTTTTTCTAAATGACTGAACATTTAAGTAAGTAATTGAATAATCATTTTGTACTGATAGAGATAAAGGTTTAATTAATAATTGAAGTTTTGCTTCTGTTTGTAATCTTTGTATTTCATTGAAGATTTCTCTATCACTTTGTTTTGGCTTCAAATTTTCAATTAATTTAAAATCTCCATCCAAGTATAATCCATTAATTGATGTTACTCGAGAACATGCAGTATAAATTAATTCTCGAGGCAAATGTTTAGTTAAATTAACAATAACTCGTTCAAATGTTGACCCCTGACTTTTATGTATTGTCATAGCTTCACAACACACTAATGGAAACTGTGTACGAGTTACGTTTACATTAAGAAATCCACCAATTTGAAAATCTTTCTTTATTGGTACAATCGGTGTCCAAGTCTCTGGAATAAAATTTAGTTTAATATATTCTTTGTACTTTCGGCGAATTTCAAATCCA